CCCCCAGCTACGCGGAAGTTTGTCCTACAGAACAGACCATCAAACACTCGGATTGGCTGTGTTTCAGCCACGTACGTCGCAGAGAAAGACAGTCGGCAGTGCTGAGTCAACACAGTGTGACAGGGGACCGTTGGTTGGTTGAGGCGGGGGAAGTGCTGCTCGTCCGAGTTCTGTGTTTGGCTGGACAGCTTGAAGGCAACAGGCACGATATGTCGGTTCAGTTCGGGACTTTCTCTGGTTGCTCGAAATGACGAGGTATTAAGATAAAACATGGGGAAATATTGATCTGTAGAATAGCAACACAAATTAACACTGAAGCAATCACCCTGATGAAGTACTAACGATTCAACATAGAAGCAATATAAATACCCACTGGTGCCACATGGAAAAAAGCCTGCAACTTCGTCCTGCAATGAAGACAGTGAAACTGAAAACAATCGAGTAGCTACAACAAGTGTAACACATGACAGTCCATTCGCAATGTTGTAATCAGCATAGAAAAACACATGTTGGTAACTATGGGAAGAATACATATTGTTAAAGTAAAACTACAACCAGTAGAAAAAGCACTGTTTCGATTCCAGGCGCGAGAGTGACTCCATGTGCCAGATAACGACTTCACGTATAGTATCGCCACGTTCAAGAGACCCTCCAGGTCGTATACCACATGAAGACGGTAAATTTCCGCGTCTCACGTGTTCCTTTTGGAAGTCGTCAAAGGGGCATAGATCAAGACAAAGGCAACGAAGCAAGCATGCAGAGGCACGGGTCTACCGCACCAAACACGCACAAGGAGGGGTTAGCCCTCCCAGAGAAAATACTTTCATTGATCTCGGCACCTGCCCCGTAAGCGCACCCATAAGGGCAAGGTGCAAAGACAACAACCACAAGGTCCTAAGCTAAGCACAAGTACAAGATACAGAGAAGATAGACAATTTGATATCTACAATCACAAACCAAGCGTCACAGAAGAGGTTGATAAGTCTTCAGAACTGACAATCCCCATGGATGCTCGTCCCTCGCCCTGCTGCTTGTTGCTCCAAGAAAGCGCCTGCCAACCAACTGACACAGAACAACCCTAACACAGAAACAGTTTCCATGAAGACGAGAACAACTCACGCTCATAAACTCATCGATGCCAACATACAGAAGACGACGAACGCCACGGCTGTTGGAGCTCTGAGTACTCGTCACTATCCTGAAACCCTAAGAAAAGCGAAGATCCTGGATGCTGGTGGATACAATGACCCTGACAACCTCTTTCCATTATTAATTGTTGCCTGCCGTGCTGGGAAAGTTGGGAACCTCTCCCTCGGACTCATCGAAACAAAACCCTCGGCTGTGGCGTGAGCGGACCTCTCTGACCCCGAAAGAACTGACTGACGAGCCTGAGTTGCGCGGCATGGCGAACGTGCTTGACGAGCCGCTTTCGAGGTTCGAGACTTTCTGGTGAGCTGGAGGAAGGTTTGAAGCGGGCGAACCTAGTCCGACATCATTATGTGGGCTGCCCGAAATGTTTACAGAGATCTTATTGTGTCGAAAAGTGTTGGAAAAGTCGAATATACGAACAGTATCGAAACTGATTTCACAATTCCAGTGACGCAAGAAAACATTTTCCCGTTGCCCCACCAATAAAGTTCGGTGACGTTATGCCTTGTTGGCCAAGGGACTGGCAAACCACGAAAACCCCAACTCATGCAGACTAATCATTTCGTTCCAAACCATCCAGCCATGCCAGGCTTGAATGGCGAACCGAGGTCCAAACCATGACACACGTCAAGCTGGACTACACCCCCACCACCATTAAGGGGGGTTGAGAACGGTTTACACGTTGAACTCTCCTAAAAGCATTCAACAAAATGCATGCTAAATGTGCTCAACGCCAGTTCATACCAACACAAGCTAATTCGACTTTACTTATACTTGGGCATTACCATCAAATACACGACACTCACTTCTCATGGCATACCATTCCATCAAGTTGCAACTCCAAAATGGAATATGATAGTCTCATTCCACTACCCTTTTAAATCTTCCTGTCACTGGGAGATGGATTGCTGCCACTAAAGGAAATGAAGATTATATCAGCTTGACAATTTCTTACAAATCAAATCAGGAATCCGACAGCAACTAAGCAGCAACTAAGCGTGATAGTGGAGCAGGAAGGCCGAAGGGCATAGGCAGATCACGTGGCTACCAGGCGAATCACTGACAGACACTAGTGCAGTGACTGCTTGCAGCAAGATTCAATAGCATGAACCAGCCAGGTACCATGAATTCAAACCGTTACAGGTACAATGTCATACGTGAAAACAATAGTTGCAAGAATCAGGCAGTATCTAGATAGCAAGAGTTATGACGCCCACCTGGAATGCAGATGAAACATTGTAGATCCAACCAGGATGTCACGCAGCCTGCAGAAAAAAAGCCACATCAGGAATTTCAGCACCATTTCCTATATTTGTACAAAGAACTGGCTTACGATGCCCCCGTACACCATTAAACGTATGGCATGGAGAGCGGAAATATATATCCATGCTCATCCTCTTTTCGCCATTACACTGGCAGTATTAGTACAAGTATGTACCCAACAACCGTCTTTCGTCAGAAATGGTAGCTTCACAACGTCTTAATGTAGAAACTTGAGCGACTTCCGAGGTCGTGTGGCGCTTCTTCAATCGCTTCCAAGTGTGGACGAGATTTGATGGACTTCAGAATGGCTGATGGACATGCCCTCCACGCATCGTTATGCTGTTAATGGACCTCTCAGCAATCATATTGCTCAGAATGGCTGATGGACTTGCGCCACATCGAATTGCTAACGCCCAACGCTGCGTGTGGTTCACGATGGCTTGGCGGGTCACACAATAAGGACGAGAGGGGGAAATAACGGGCGGCACAGGCACGGATCTACCGTACCTAACACAAACAAGGAGAGCTTCGCCCTCCGACAGAAAATATTTCCATTAATCTCGGCACCCGCCCCGTAAGCGCACCCATAAGGGCAAAGGTGCAAAGACAACAAGCACAAGCTCCTACGAAGAGAGACGATATACCATGTACAACAATACAGGCAGCCACGTAGAAAAACAGATATAATCAACAAACCAATCTTCCATGACGATAAAAAGACGTCTTCAAAGTGGATGGTCCTCGCCTGATGATTCTTCACCGTCACCGTTGACAAAAGCAAAAGAGACAGCCATCTGCTGTAAACAATACACGGTAAGCTTCGTCAAGCAATTGCATATATTACTTGTTTGCAGGGTAAAAGCGTTCTAGGAACTGCTGAACAATAGATTAAGACCTACCTTCAGGAAACCTGCAGTGAGCAGGGGAAGGATGAAAGAACTCCAACGGAATGGAACTGAAAGAACTACTGCTCTACCATGACTAACCAGGGTGAAGGAGCGGCCCAAAAGGTTATGTACACGAAACCCTAGCTTTGGGAATGAACCCTTCCGTTTTGCCGAGTGTTCTTCACGAACCTACTAGAAGGCTCGGAGTCAGGTGAAGGCTTGGCCCAAACTTGAAACGCGTTACCCAGATGCTTTGGGGTAGCCTTGGCCATACGCAACCCTTGAAACGCGTCACTCAATCGCCAGAAGTCTCATCGATTTTCTCGACAGGGGGCTCCCTACACTAGCCATGAATTTCTATCGAACCCAGCACCAGATACTGCTGCCCCCGCCATCCATACCGTTTCCGGACCGAAAGCCGAGCCAAAGCAGGTATGGTTCAAGCTCTCCGTTGCTCCTCCTTGCCTCATTGTCAACCACCGGAACCGAATCTGACGCAGAAAACCTGCACTTCCAAGCCTCGAAAAATCCCGCCTGGAGCGCTGCTTCTGTGGCACGGCAGGCACATAAACTTCGTTCCGCTCAGTGCTTATAGCGAAGAAGCCCACGACGCTGATTACACCCAGCCGTGAATTCACTTCCAGCAATGTTCGTGGAGCAGCAAGGCTTTGAGCACGGAACTTCCGTGACGAAGAAATCATGCTACAATTATCGGTGTTACAGGACACTTCTGAACTGTACTATGACGATTTTTGTTCTTGTGTTTCCCTCCACTGTCACCTGGAGCCAGGGTGACATCCCAAGAACCTGGAGCCTGACGAGCAACGAACAAGCAGCCCTCATTTCCGCCTTCACAAATTCCTCGTTTGCCAAAGCCATGCTGTTTTACTCGAGTCGCTTCGTGGACTTGCATCAGCAGGGATAAGAGAGCATGTGTATGTAGGTGCTAGGCTCGCAATATTCCGGCTTGGCAGGAGTTTTTATTCCGCCATGTCGTTCGCTCACATTCTTGCGGATGGGTTCGGAAATCCCAAGCGGTGCTTGGGGATAGTTGGTTCACCTCAGCCAAACGACGTCACATGTCCGACTGCCTTCGTCGACTTGGTCTTTGGAGCTCTAGGTTCCGCCTTAGATGCGTTTAAGGACCGTGAACTGGGACTGCCATGCGACAAGCACTCGTCGCGAGCGACGTGGAAATGTGATCGCATCTTGAGCGTCCTGAACGCGTGTTTGGAAGAACTTGATCACTGGAAAGCTTTGAACACTCCAGGTGCTTCACAAGCTTTATTACTTGTCCTAGACTACGTCTATGTTCCACAACTTTTCCTGTTTACTTTTTTTACTTCTTTTCTCGCCGTACCCGTTTTAACGTGTTTAGTCGCTGCAGTGGCTTCCTCTCGCCGTTTTCTAAAGAGTTTTTTTTTTTTTTTTTTTTTTTTTTTCGGATGTGCCGTACTCTCAGATGGAGCCTTTTCCGAAGGTTCCGGTCCCAAGGCCCACCTGTCGAAACACTTAAGTGCGGACAGCCTTTCAGAGGACCGAATAAATTGTGCGAGCCATAGCCTAGTGGCTCCTATACCGTCGAGCTTAAACTCCCACAGCATCTCCGTCTCGCCTCCCCCTCAGCTCGGCGGTCGCTTCGGCTTCGGCCGAAGATTCGGCGAAAATAATAAGACCGAAAATGGGTTATCTTCGTCGACCATGTCTTTTGTCACGCCGGTGCCATCCTCCGCGAGTGAGGGCTCTGCGGCTGCTGGCGACTGGGGATTTTCGGGACCCGTGAAAGGGTTTCCTTCGGCTCAGACAGCTCCGCTGTCGACTCTCGACGTCGCAGGTACATTTTGTATGCGCTCGTTACTTTTTAAACCAGGACCAATGCGCGGCTCGTCTCCGCGCTCGTGTTTAGCACTCCCGAAACCCCCCCAAGGTTACCAAATCGTATCCACTTTCTCGTCCAATCTCCCTTTCCCTTCCCTTCGCCTTTCCGCTGCCCTCCTCATCCTGCTTCCCTTCCCCTCTCTCCTCAGCACCAGCGGAACAGAGTCCCGCCCAGGGGGAGCAGTGGGAAGCGCTGTACGCGTCAGTGCAGGACGCGGTGCTCATGTATAACGCGCAGTTCGTCTCCGCGCTGGCGGATGGTTTCCCGCCCGCTGCTGACGTCATAGCGTCCCTGGACGAGGCCCTGCAGGACCTGGCGAAAGACGTCTACGTGGCAATGGATAAGATGGAAGAGGTGAGCTATGCAGTCTACGTGGCATTGGATTAGACTTTCCGGTTCTGGGAGTCGGGGAAGGGAGGCTGTGGGGACACACTCACGCGCCATGCATTCTCGCGTCAATCGTCCTTTCCGTTTCCCTATCACCAATCCTTGCACGCGTTCCTCCACTCCACCCCCCTCCCCAGCTCTTAAGTTAACAATACCTCATTATTCATCCTCTCTTCATCAAAACAGGGAGTAAGCCAACGAGCCTCGCTGTTTCCTATCCGCGTCTTTGCAATGTGTGCGTCTCTGGAAGTCTCTCGCTGCCGTAGGCTGTTCCCGAAGCTGCAGGAGGAGGAGGAAGAGGAGGAGGGGCAGCAGCAGCAGAAAAGTGACCACTATGTAGCAGGGGAAGTGTCAGGTGAAGGGGTTTCTAAGGATGCTCCAGGGGTTTCAACAGAAGTTTCAGGAGAACTAAAAGGTTGGTCTTTCCTTGCCGCTGCTGGCAATCTCAGGGACCAGCCAGTATCCGCAGCGCTTCCGCCGTTGGATGAGGACGATCTGACGGTTCTGGAGCAGCTGTTGGAGGAGGCGGGGGACGAGATTCAGGGCCTGTTCCTAAACTGCAAGGGGTCACTGTACGGTCTTGGTGTCACACATGCTCGTTCCCTCGCCCGTTTTTCTATCCTGGGGAAGGCACTGAAAGCAGCAATAGAGGGAGCAACGGAAGCGAGTTTCACTGTGTTAAGGGATGGACGGGAGGAAGTGAGGTATTTGGAGAGGAGAGAGGCGGGGGAGAAGGAGGGTGGGGAGAGGAAAGAGGAGGGAGAAGGAAGAGGAGTGGGAGCGAGTGGGAGGGGATCTGGATTTGAGTTTGATACTTCAAAGGTCTCAAGCGGATGCAGTCAATCAAACGAGGGAGAGAAGGAGAGGCGGATATCGGGGGGAGAGGAGGAAGAAGAAGAGGAAGACGACGAGGATGATGACGACAACTCTGACACTAACGAGAGTGACAATATCGAGGATGACTGTATTATATGGGATGACGGGCTTCAGGATATCAGGGCACTGTTCGCCCCTAAGCAGTCCGTTACGACCCCCTCTGGAAAATCTCCCTCTGCTTCTTCCACCTCCTCTACCCCCTCAGCAGCAGCACTTACACCCCAAGGGAGACCTGAAGCCACTAGCCCTGTCTTCTCTAACCAGAACCAGCAGAAGCAGCAACACCTGCGAACGCAGTCGGAGGTGATTCTTGACTCGACTCAGAAGTCACCTAGAGCCGCTAACTCGATTTTCTCTGACCGGCAACAGCAGAACCACCAGCGGGCCTTCTCAGTCGCTGTAACGCCTAACTTATCCTCTGACTCGAGTAACCTGACAGCTGACAGCAAGACATGTGCACCAGGGGCACCCACAGAAGCAGCAGCATCCATACCAGGAACTCCGAAAGGGCCGCGGCTGGGAGCAAGGATTCTATTGGAGCGAATCCGAGACTATCAATGGCTGGCGGAATGGCTAGGGATTGACCCTGATGAGCTGCTAATCCACAAAGTCCTCTCCGTTGTGCCTGTAGGCATGCTCCTTACTGACCTGGGCGTGCCACGCTCGTTAGAGTCCGGTTTGTTAGAGTCACAGCGCCCGCTGCTGCTGCGGGTGGTGCTGCCGGGGTTCCGGGAGGAGGTGAAGAGACGGCTGTTGGGAGCCGGGCTGGCGTGGACCGAAGGGATGCTGGTCAAGACGGTGGTGTTTGAACCGAAGAGGAATGCCGCTGTGTTCACTACAGGAGGTGGCAGTGCTGCTGCTAGCGGTGGTGCTTCTGGTTCTGCTGCTGATGCTGCCGGTGCTGGTGGTGGTGGTGGGGAAGCGGGTGCAGCGACTGGTGCTGCTGCAGCTGCAGCAGCAGCAGGAGGGAAAGGATTGGCCAAGAAACCCAGCCACAACCGAACCAAAAGCGCCGAAGACATGCAAGAACTATCCCCGTTTGTGTCACATGCGGTACAAGAATCGCTCACAGCAGGCGGCGGGCTTGCAAAACAGATTCCCCTGGAGGACATTCTGGCAGCGACAGACTCGTGGAGCCCGGAGAGGAAGCTAGGGGAAGGCGCGTATGGCACGGTGTTCAAGGGGGTTGTTGGGCGCGGTGGGGAAGGTGGAGATGGCGAGCTATGGGCTGTGAAGCGGGCAGGCAATGTGTCGGGGTCTCATCTGGAGGAATTTGAGAAGGAGGTGAGTTGGATTCGGCTGGGCCGGGCTGGGCTGGGCTGGGTTGGGCTGGATTGGGCTGGGTGTAGCTTCATAAGGCTAAGCCAGATTCCCCTGGAGGACATTCTAGCAGCAACAGACTCGTGGAGCCCTGAGAGGAAGCTAGGGGAGGGCGCGTATGGCACGGTGTTCAAGGGGGTTGTTGGGCGCGGTGGGGAAGGTGGAGATGGCGAGATATGGGCAGTGAAGCGGGCGGGCAATGTGTCGGGGTCTCATCTGGAGGAATTTGAGAAGGAGGTGAGTTGGATTCGGCTGGGCCGGGCTGGGCTGGGCTGGGTTGGGCTGGATTGGGCTGGGTGTAGCTTCATAAGGCTAAGCCAGATTCCCCTGGAGGACATTCTAGCAGCAACAGACTCGTGGAGCCCGGAGAGGAAGCTAGGGGAGGGCGCGTATGGCACGGTGTTCAAGGGGGTTGTTGGGAGCGGTGGGGAAGGTGGAGATGGCTGTGAAACGGGCTGGGAATGTGTCGGGGTCTCACCTGGAGGAGTTCGAGAAGGAGGTGAGTTGGGATGGGCGGGGTTGGCCTGTGTTGGGCTGGGTTGGGTTAGGTTCGGTTGGGTTGAGCTTCCTAAGGCTTGAATTCCCTTAGCAGCGACAGAGTCGTGGAGCCCTGAGAGGAAGCTCGGGGAGGGCGCGTACGGCACGGTGTTCAAGGGGGTTGTTGGGCGCGGTGGGGAGGGTGGAGATGGCGAGATATGGGCTGTGAAACGGGCTGGGAACGAGTCGGAGTCACATCTGGAGGAGTTTGAGAAGGAGGTGAGTTGGCGTGGGATGGGTTGGGATGGGTTTCGTTGTGTTGGGCTGGGCTGGGTTGGGCTAGGTTGGGCTGGGTTGAGCTTCATAAGGCCCGTGAAGCAGATTTCCCTTGAGGACATTCTGGCAGCGTCAGACTCGTGGAGCCCGGAGAGGAAGCTAGGGGAGGGCGCGAACGGCACGGTGTTTAAAGGGGTTGTTGGGCGCGGTGGGGAGGGTGGCAATGGCGAGATATGGGCAGTGAAGCGGGCAGGCAATGTGTCAGGGTCTCATTTGGAAGAGTTCGAGAAGGAGGTGAGCTAGATTGTGTTGGGCTGGGTTGAATCGGTTGGGATGGATTGAATTGGGTTGGTTTGGGCTTCATAAAGCTTGTGAGGCAGATTCCTCTAAAGGACATCCTAGCAGCAACAGACTCGTGGAGCCCTGAGAGGAAGCTAGGGGAGGGTGCGTATGGCACGGTCTTCAAGGGGATTGTTGGGCGCGGTGGTGGGAGTGAAGGTGGCGAGATATGGGCTGTGAAGCGGGCAGGGAATGTGTCGGGGTCTTTTCTGGAGGAATTTGAGAAGGAGGTGCGTTAGGTTGGGCTGGTTTGGGATTGGTTGGGTTGGGCTTGGTTGGGTTGGGTTGGGTTGGGTTGGGTTGGGTTGAGCTTCATAAGGCTCACGAGGCAAATTTCCCAAGATGGCAGAAGGTGGAGAGCGGTGGGCTGTGTGGTGGGCTGGGTTGGGTGTTTGGGCTGTAATGACATAGTTTTGAGTGCAGGGTTTTAGCTGGAGGAAAATCGGGAAGGAGAGGGAGGGCTGGGTTGGGCGGGGTTGTCTTTCCATATCATTCAGTGCCCCCGTCCCCCATTCTCCCTTCCCGATCCTCCCTCGTGTTATGTGTCCTTCATGAGTCGCATGGCCCACCAGCTCCTTGTGCTCCTCAACTGTGCCATTGCTGTTACTCATTGTCACCCCTTGTCACTCCTTGTCACTCTTTGTCGCTCCTTGTCACTCCTTGTCACTCCTTGCCTCCGTTCTCCTGTGCCCTGCCCTCCTAATCCCAGGTGTCATTCATGAGTCGCATGGCCCACCAGCACCTCGTGCGCCTCACAGGAAGTACCAGTCCGGTCAATTCTTGTCACTCCTTGTTACTCCTTGCTACCCCTTGCCACCTCTCGCCACCATTCCTCCTACCAGGTGTCATTCATGAGTCGCATGGCCCACCAGCATCTCGTGCGACTCATAGGCTTCTGGGCGGATTGTGACGAGCGAATTCTCATCTACGAGTTTATGCACAATGGCACGCTCGCCTCCCGTATCCACCGTGCCGTGGTGCCTGCATCCCCTACTGGAGGTGGGTCTCATGGGCTCGGCTGGGCTGGGCTGCTTGCACTGTGTGACGAGCGCTGGACCATTAACAAGTTTATGCACAATGGCACGCTCGCCTCCTGTATCCACCGTGCCGTGGTGCCTGCATCCCCTACTGGAGATGAGTGTCTGGGCTGGGCTGCTTGCGTTGTGTGACGAGCAAATGGCACAATGGCACCTTCGCATCTCGCATTCACCGCGCTGTGTTTCCGTCATCCCCTACAGGAGGTGAGTGCTGTGTCGTGTCCCAACTGGTGTGCGTGCCACGAGTGTTATGCACAAAGTGTTCTGCACTGAGTTGAGTAGTGCGACGAGCGCATTCGCATCTACGAGTTCATGCACCACAGCACCCTCTCTTCTTGCATCCACCGTGCTGTGGTGCCTGCATCCCCTACAGGAGGTGAGTGCTGTGTCCCAACTGGTATGCGTGCCACGAGTGTTATGTTATGCACCAAGTGTTATGCACTGAGTTGAGTACTGTGACGAGCGAATTCTCATCTGCGAGTTCAAGCACCATGGCACGCTCTCCTCTTGCATCCACCGTGCCGTGGTGCCTGCATCACTCTCTGGAGGTGGACTCATGGGCTGGGATGCTTGCAATGAGAGATGGCCGCAAGCAAATTCTCATCTATGAGTTCATGCACAACGGCACCCTCAAATCCCGCATCCCAATTCCTCTCCCTCTTTTACCCTCCCTTTCCGCTCTCTCTCCCTTCAACTCAAATCCCTCAACGGAATAATTGCACAAGAAGGCGCCCCCTTTCCCTCTCCCATTTGACAAGCGAGTAATGATTTCTGCCGGAGCATCCAAGGACCTGCGCTACCTGCACACACATCTTGCCCTCGGTGGTTCTCGTTTTCACCCATGCTTGTGCCCTTTCCCCACTCTCCTTCTAATCGTCCTCTGAACAGAAGCACCGAAGAAGGCGCCCCCTCCCCCTCTCACTTTCGACGAGCGTGTCGCCATCTCGGTAGGGGCAGCCGAGGGCCTGCGCTACCTGCACGATTTTGCCCGCCCGCCCGTGATCCATCGCGATATCAAATCGGAGAATATCCTGCTGGCAGCGGATCTGCAGGCCAAGGTGGCGGATTTCGGGCTGCTGAAAGCGAATGACCAGGGTGGGCCCGGGCGGCATGTGGCGAGAACGAGGCTGATGGGCACGCCTGGGTATTGTGACCCGGAGTATTCCCGGACTTACATCGCCACGCCCAAGAGTGACGTGTACAGGTGCGTGTGTGGGAGAGTGAGAGGTGTATTATAGGGTGGGAGTGTGGGAGATGTGAGGGTAAGTGAGACAGGTAGGTGTGAGTGTGGGAGGATGAGACAGGCAGGTGTAAGTGTCAGGGAATGGGTTGTTGAAAACGAGTGGCCAGGGCGGGCCCGGGTGGGATGTGGCGAGAATGAGGCTGATGGGAACCCCTGGGTATTGTGACCCGGAGTATTCGCGGACTTACATAGCCACGCCCAAGAGTGACGTGTACAGGTGAGCAGCGAGCACGCAAGAGGCTGCTGAAAGTGAGTGGTCAGGGCGGCCCGGGCGGCATGTGGCGAGAATGAGGCTGATGGGTATCCTGCCGGAGTTGACTTGGAAGCCCTGAGGCATCCTCAAACCCCCCCTCCCATATGCACATCCATGTGTGTCTGTCTCTGCAGCTTTGGGGTTGCTGCTGGAGCTGGTGACGGAGCGCCGGGCCATCTTGGGCGGGCGAAACCTAGTCAGAAGTCGAGGATGGGGGCTAAGCAATGTGGCATTGCCACCCTGATGGAGGCACTGAGCATTGTTGCTTTGGGGAGGCACCCAAACACCTCTTGTACGAGTTTCATATATGTGTGTGCGTGTCTTGTTTGCCCGTCTGTCTCTGCAGCTTTGGGGTTGTTCTTCTGGAGCTGGTGACGGGCCGCAGAGCCATCCTAGCAGAGCCGAGCCAGAAGACAGGGATGAACCTGGGCAACGTAGCATCGCTGCTGCAGCGCTCCAAGCGCAATGCCAAAGCGAGCGCCATGGAGCCAGGGGCCACAACTACGCTCGTGCAATGGGTGAGTGCGTGCATGGGTTGGGTCTGTATGTATGCGGGTAGGCTTGCTGGCCGGTATGTCGGTGAGTGGCTTAGGCCTGGGCAACGTCGCGTCGCTGCTGCAGCGCTCCGAGCGCAACATTGAAGCGAGTGCCATGGAGCCAGGGGCCACCACCACAGTCATGCAATGGTTGAGTGTGGGGTGTGTGAATGTATGGGTTCACATGTGTGGGTATTCCCGCTGGTTTGGGTGCTTCCGTGTGTTGGCCTGTGCGAGTGTGTTTCACACTTGGGCAGGTGAGGGTGTTTCTGCAAGTCTGTGATGATTTTAGAGGCACTTTTTGGCAGGTGTTTCTGCCATAGATATACATGTGGACTTGAAGTTATTTCTCTTTCTCACATACCATCTCACTCCCTCCTCTCCACTCCCCTCCATCCAGGCCATTCCTCTGATCACAGCAGGCAAGCTCAAATCCGTAGTTGACCCGGCCCTGGAAAACAACTACCCACCAGGAGGGATGAAAGCATTCGCCAATGTGGCGGTCATGTGCGTCCAAAAAAGCGCCGCCCAGCGGCCGACCATGGCTGAGGTGGCGACACGCCTGTCTGCCATCCAACACAAGGTGCAAGACCTGCACATTCAGGGGGAAGAGCCCAAGTATAACTTCCAACCCACTATCGGAACTGGTGCTCCGCCTGGTGCTGCTGCTGCTGCTGCCGCGCCCATTCCAAGAGCACAGTCGGCCCCTCGGCCCAAATCGCCAGCTCCAAAGGTGCCGCAGAAAAAGGCTGGGGAGAAGAGCGGGAGTGGGGCGGGAGCAAAGGCAAAAGCGAAGGATGCAGGCGTTGGGGAGGGGAAAGAGACGAAGGGGAAGAAGGCGGGAGGGAAGGGGGTTACGCGGGCCAAGAGTGCGGCGCAGCCTTATTTGGGGGCTAAGGATGCAGTGGAATTCAGCTCGCAACATGTGACAGGTAAATATATCGCAATGATGTGACCCTCCAGATGCTTATGGGTTGTACACTGCGTTTAGATGTTCGCTTACAGGCTGGGTGTTCCAGGTCATAAAGCCTTGCGGCATGTAGTATGTATTCCCCTTCGCAGAGTTGAGAGATAGTACTGGTAACGGCCCAGCAGGCTTGCACCAAGGCATTGCCACCCTATCCATTCCATGTTCTGCATGGTGATTGACATATTTTAGGCTATATTTCTATATATTGTATCTAGAAGTGTAACACTTATTCACTGCATTGATTCGAAGTCGTGGAATCGAAATATGGCATGGGTGCTCGTCCAAACCACCCAAGAACCTGACTAGGTCTCCGCCCTGTTCAGGCTCGTCACACACGGGATCTACTGTGTGGTTGGCCAGATTTGCTTTCTTAGACCCCCCTGTCAGACGCTTCGGCCCGAACCAGGGTGTCATTGGCGGTGCTTCCTGCGCGGGGCGGAGCTGGTCTAGATCATGTTCTCGAAGGTGCCACGTCACAAGCTTTCCTTTCACTGAACCCGCACGTTTGCCCCAGCCAAACCAGCTGTTGTGTCCCTGCGGTCCCCACATACTCCACACGGAAAGCCGTAATTCGCTGAAACTCCATGCCAAGCCTGTGAACAAGGCTGGACATTCTAGTGAAACCACCAGCAAAACCAGCGGCTTAGTGCTCTTCAGCTCGGTAACTGAGGCAGACAAAAGTCAGTCACCAAGAGGTTCCCGCGATCAGAGCTCTGGTTTGTGGCTGTGGCATGCTCCCGCGTAGATCGCCACACGACAACCAATCTCGACCGTCTGAATGCCGGTAGATTCGAGGGCTCCTCCGCTCGAGCCTTCAAGCGGAAGATGGGAGTTGTGCCTATCTCTCCCAGTCCTATCTATACCTTTTCTCTCCCCACAGCCTTGTTGCTTCCTCTCAGTCTGAACAGAATCCAGCTTCCCACTGGAGTGGCTGCAACTTGAAGCGCAGTGTTCCTTATTTTGATCTTTCCAGCTGAAGGCCGCCTGATCACCATGACTGTGGAGACTGAAGTTGTTTCTCAAGCAGCATCCCCTTCCTCCAACTACACAGCCACCATGACCAGGGATACGCCGTTCTACTATGTCTGGCCTGCGACGGAGCCTCTCGTGCAGACTTTCGAGTGGAAGGTCGATGAGACGCCGGTGTCGAACCTTCCGTTGATGCTCTGCACATGTATAGGCTATGTCGCGTTCATTCTAGGGCTGAAATGGTACCGGACAAAGAACAAGATGGCACCAGTGAATCTGGGCTTCCTCCCTGCCATTCACAACCTGATCCTGTGCCTCTGGTCCCTGGCGATGTTCCTGGGAACGATCCACGCAATGCTCTTGGATTCCGAGATCAACAAGTATGACACCGGCATGGTAAGGCATCATGGTACATTGCTGGCCATCCTTCAGCAAATCACGACAGATTCGGTGATTGACGGTGCATTCCTTTTCTTTGTTTGCAGGGCAAGTATACGTGGCTTCTCTGTTTCCCGTCAACCGTCAAGCCAGTCGGTTATCTGTGGTTCTGGAGTTACATCTACTACCTCAGCAAGTACTACGAGCTCCTGGATACTGTCATCCTGGTGCTGAAGAACAAGCCGCTGTCGTTTCTCCACGTGTACCACCATGCAACCATCGTCTTCCTCTGCTGGCTGTGGCTAACAGTGAGTTATTTTCTTACCTTCACACCGTCGTGTCCTGGTGGTTTATCGCGTGTTCATGGTATATTGCGATCCACAACTGTAAATTCAAGAACCGATCTATAACGCGATCCACAACTGTAAACTCATGAACCGATCTATAACGTGAGTAACCGGACTAGCCCAACTGTAGACGAACGCGAGGGACGCCACCTTAGTCTAGCAACGAAGTACGATTCGATCAGGAAACTCTAATTAACTGAGAAGATCAACGCACAATACAATCCCCACTGTACAGGCACAAAAGCATTGCTCATATTTGTTATCTTTTCTGTTTTTGTGAGCAGAACACGCAGTCTCTCCAGGTCATCGCCATCACCATCAACACAGGGATCCACGTGATGATGTACTTCTACTACTTCATGCACAGGTATGGAATCAGAAGTTGCGATCACGTCGTTCTCCAGTTGGTTCCTGAAAGTACGAAAACAGAAAGTTACGTACATTGCTCTCTCGCGAATCTTGGCAACTGACGTCGCCTTTTTCCTGCGATTTGTGTCAACAGCATCGGCATGCCTCCTCCTTGGAAGATGTTCGTCACCAACAGCCAGATCATTCAGGTACGGTTTTCTCTGTCATCATGCTTTCTACACCATGTATCATGAACCTTTCTCTTCTGGTTTCGCGAACAAAACTCAATTGATTGAATGCTAGAACTAACTCTTTGTTATTGATGCTCGCAGTTCATGATCGGCACTTTCGTCTCCTTCCCTCTCATCTACTTCCACTTCACCCGGCCGACTGGATGCGCCGGATTCGAGTCTTTCTGCTTCAACCTCTTCTTCAACTCCTCGCTCCTCTACCTCTTCGTCGACTTCCACATTCGCAACTACGGAAAGGCCGCCAAGGCTGCCAAGGGTGGCAAGCGGGCCAAGAGGGATTAAGTTATTGCAGGACTTGGTTCTTGTAGATCTGGTGTTTGATGGAGCTGAACGAGGTGGCGGATATTGGCTGTGTGTTACGCGAAGGGAGGGAGATGCAAGCTGTCTCTTCACGCTTAGGGTTGGGTTAGACTGGCTAGCATTTCGGTTGACTTGATGATTAGATCTTCCGCTCACGTGTCAACAGTGTTATCAGTTTTGTCAGCTTTCTTCTGACGCTATTCTACTCCTTCCGTGCTCCGTTACAGTCAGTCGCAGCCGGGGTTCCTATTAGTTACCGTTGCTTCGAACGTCCAAAACGATAGTTAACGTTAATAGGAAGTCTCCCCTCTTCTTTCATCCCAGCTTCCCCCCCGCTTACTCTTTCCATTCTTCCTCTCTTCCACTATCTTTCCCTTTTCCCGTCTTTCTCTTGGCCCTCTTTCTCTTCCCTCCCCTCGTTCATTTCCCCCTTCGCCCTCTTTTCCCCACGTTCTCCTCTCCCCACGTTCTCTTCTCCCGTTCTCTTATCCCCTCGTTCTCTTCTCCCGTTCTCTTATCCCCTCGTTCTCTTCTCCCCGTTCTCTTCTCCCCTCGTTTTCTTCTCCCATCGTTCTTCTCTCCTCGTTCTCATCTCCTCTCTTTCTCTTCCCCCCTCGTTCTCTTCCCCCTCGCTCTCTTCCCCGTTCTCTTCCCCCTCTCGCTCTCTTCCCCGTTCTCTTCCCCCTCGTTCTCTGTATCTTTCGTTCTCCTCCCCCCTTCTTCTTCCCCTTTTCTCATTCCTCCTCTTCTCATTCCGCCTCTTCTCATTCCCTCTCCACTCTTTAACCATCTTCTCTTTCATCCACTTACCTTCCATATTCTTTCTCCTTTCTTCCCCATCCCAAAACCCTTCCCATCCTGCTCATCTTCCTATCGCTTTCTCACCATCTATCTTCTTCTTAAACCCCTCCCCGCTTCCCTTTTCTCACCACTCCCCGCCCTCGATCTCCACCTCGTCTTCTCTTGTACCCCTGCCTGACTCACTCACCCCTTCAACTACAGTATCAGCCTGCCCGTTTCTTCCTCACCCCACTGCATCTTACACTGCTCCAGTGTGAAATCGATTGTGCCTTAAACTGCACAGTCCCTCCTAGCCATAGTAGAGAAGTCTTAGGCCCCTTCAAGGAGGAAAATAAATTGTGAAAATAAAATATTGCCATGACAAATTTGAGGACCTCACTCCAGAAATTGACAACCTGAACTGATGACCAGGAATATACTCCTTGTCTTGGCAGTATGAACAGCATCGTCCACAACATCTAGTCACTAATATATCCACCCTAAACATTCCAGTAACAAACTCATGTACATCTGCATCTGAAAATAGATCTCACGTAAACGAATTTCACTTTCCAGTGCATAGCCTCACTGCCTGTCAAAGGAGCATCGGCTCTGTTCTGTAGGCCCTGGCGGAGGGGGAGCGAGGGGAAATAGGTAGCTTCCCCCCACTGAGTTTTTTGGGTTCGGAAGGCGGTCAGCCCGCAAGACGTTGCCGAGCCAGCCATTTACCCTCCGAACCTGTTTGAGGGGAAATGGCTACAGAACAGCCATTTACCCCCGTGGGTTTTGGCCCATACGAAACTACCTATTTCCCCTCCCCACCTTCCTCCTCTGGCAAAATTCACGCCATTCGCCCCGCCCTTCGAAACCCGCTTTTTCAGGGCGGGGCGAGAGACATGGGAGGGAGGTACGGGGGGTGGGGACACCCACCTTCTACCCTCGATGGACATTCCCTCAGGCTGCTCGTAACCCACTCAGAAAGGCACAACCCGATCAACGAAAATCCCCCCCCTCTCAACCATCTTGCCGAGATTGAAAACCCACGCTGCTGCTTGGTAAGAGTTGGTCGTTGCTGCGGCTGTTTGATACGTGTTGGGAAAGTTGGGAGTTGAGTTTGCAGCCCGTTTTTCTAGCGCCGAACCCCCACTTGTAAATGTTTACCCGGCTATTTAGGGTTGGGCCCATCGTTGTACCCCTGCCTATAGGGCGCGAAGTTTTAACTGTAAATTCGCCATTTACCGTCGGCAGGTTCCGCCCTGGCGGGCGAAGTTTCGCGCTTTCGGTTGTAGTGGGGTGGAGGTGATCCCGGACATTTGCTTTCGCCCCCCTCCTCCCCCCTCGGGCAAATGCCTACAGAACAGAGCCATTGTCTAGCGCAGATGGGGACGGGTAGCTGGTCAAACCGCCCTGATCAAAAGAGATTGCAGCTGCGCCCAGCGTAATCTATGGCCCAAGTCTAGCAGTTCGCGGCGTCATTCACGTAGTGGCCACCTTACAGCTCAAACCTCATATTAGCTTCTGGCCTGAACATGACTCTTTCTCGAACACAAATGCCGTTCGGTTTAGCAGGACCGAATCCAGTCCTTAGCAGAGGTCCGGCCGCCAGTCCACTCGATACAAGGCCCGCATTTTCCTCCAGAAAGAACTTTATAACGGACCGCATGGGGAGACCTGTAGGGAGGCTTTCAGCATGGTCCGGCGGGTTTCGGAGTCTTCCGGAGAACAAGCTATGCCTCGCTGATGCATTATCTCGTCACGAGCAGCAGTCAATTAGTGCGAATTTTCAGGCGCCTCAAAGCCGCGCTCGTGCGCCGTTAGGTGTTAGACAAACTGCCACGTCACCATGTCGTGTTACTGTGACTCGAGCTACCTCGGGAGGAACCCACGAGGAAGGGGGGGAGGAATCCGCGCGCGCAGCAGCGGAGCAGCTGACGTCACTGCAGAGATCGCTGACGCAGCTTCTGTGCGTGATGGGAAATCTAGCTAGCGCGGTGGGGGAGGTTGCGCGGGCAGCGGGGGAGGTGGCGGAAGCAGCAGGGGCGGAGCGGGGAAGCGGAAAGACTGGCTTGCGTGCAACAATAGGAGCTGCAGCAGCCGCTAATGCTGCTACATCTGCTGCTGCTGCAGCGGCAGAGGCAGGAGGAGCAGTGGCTAAGGCTGCAGCAGCAGCGGCAGCAGCCGCTGCTTCTAGTGCTGCGGCTGCTGCTTCTGCCAACACATCTTTGATAGAAGCTGCATCAGCAGCAGAAGCAGCAGGAGCAGAAGGAGCAAGAGGCCTAGCACCAACTAGAAGTGAAGGGGGAGGGGGAGGGGGAGGGGGAGGGGGAGGGGGAGGGGGAGTGGGGGACGGCATGGGGAGAGGGCTGGAAGGGCATGAACTGGCATTGGCGCTGCAGCGGGCGTTTGTTCAGGCCAGAATTGAAGGGCTGGGGAAACCACGAGAGGTGGGTGGGTGGGTGTGCGAGTATGAAGAAGAGTGAGAATGTGTGAGTGCGTGTGATTGAAGGGCGTGAGTTGGCTCTGGCATTGCAGCGGGCGTTTGTGTGGACCCGGCTTGAAGAGCTGGGGAAGCCAAGAGGTGTGAGTGTGTGAGTGCATCTGTGTGCGGGAAAGGGCGAGTGAGAGTGTGAGCATGTGCATTGACTCTTGACGTTTGTGCAGGCCAGGATTGAAGGGCTGGGGAAGCCACGAGAGGTGGGCGTGTGTGTGGGGTGGGGAGAGGGGGAGGAGAATGGGCGGGAGCAGGGTAGCTGAGGTCTCTTCATTGTGTTCTCCCCCTCTCCTCCCTCCCCTCTCTCCTCCCTCCCAACTCTCCTCCCTCCCGCCTCCCCCGATTCCCCCCCACATGACTACCCGATCAGGAAGCGTTGGGTGACTTTGTAGACGCGTGCATGGCAGCACGGGCGCAGTCGCTGGGCTTTAAGGACCTCCAGCTGAAGCTGCTGCTGGCGGAGGCTGCCCTGCCCGCCCCCTTCTCCATGATGATGGGCGCTGGTGGCGCTGGGGAGGAGGGGGAGGAGGGGGAAGCGGAGGGGGGAAGTTGGGGGGAGAGCGGGGGGGGATTGGGGGAGAGAAAACGAGAAGGAAAGGAGGTGGAGGGTGAGGAGGAGAGGGAGGAGGGGAGACGAGGAGGAAGAGTGGAGGGGGTGGAAGGAGGGGCTGCAGGGAGTGGAGATGGGAAGGGGGGTGGAAGGGGAGAGGAGGGAGATGAGGAGGGGATGAGAGAGGTGGGAGAGGAGGAGAGGGTGGAGGGGGATTTGGATAGTGACGATGAGAGAAGGAGCAGCGCTCTTAAAGCCCTTCGAGGGCCCTTTCTGGCTGAGGTTGGTGGGGTCACCTAGGAGGGTATGCAGGCATGGAAGTATGAAGCAAAGGGGCATGGAGGCATGGGGGTATGGGATGGATGGATGGGCATGGGGTGGGAGGATGGGCACAGGGATTGTGCATGCACTTTTGAGAATTCTCGAAAGGCACGAGGCAGGTAAGTTAGATGGGCAGGTAAGTTAGATGGGCAGGTAAGTTAGATGGGCAGGTAAGTTAGATGGGCAGGTAAGTTAGATGGGCAGGTAAGTTTGTTGGCTTGGGCACACCGCTCTCTGTGTGTGTTCACTCACCTGCTTATCGCTTATGTCTTCTGTTCGTAGTGTGACCGCAGCCCCGCTTATGCTTGCTTCCTTGTCCCTCCTCATTTCTTCCCCTCCAACCATACAATCTTCATTCTGGTCATCCACAGAAGGTATGAGTGCAGTCTTTCACTCTCTCCTCCCGTTCTCAACCCTTTGTCAATCTCCCCCCTTCTCTCCTCACTTTCTCGCCCCCTCTCACCCCCGGTCCTCCACAGGAGGTGCGGGTTCGAACGCTGTGGGTCCGGCTAGTCTACACCACACTCAACATGGTACACCCATATGCTTACAAACATATACATTATTCTTGTTCTTTGTTATCAGCATTCATATCATTATTATTACCATCTGGCACACTGACTGTCCATCTATTTACTCATATGCATGTCCCACCCCACCTTCCCCACTCACCATGCCACCAGGTGGACAACATAAGGAGTGGAGAGGGGTACGAGGGAGTTGTGTCAGCAGACGGTTCTCAGCCGCCTGACCCTACCGATGGGTTTGTGCAGCAGGTGGGTGTGGCGCGAGGGGTATAAGTGGGTTTCCTATAAATTGAAAAAACCACCTGCAACAAAAGGGGTTTGTGCAGCAGGTGGGTGTGGCGCGAGGGGTATAATTGGGTTCGTTGTGCATTTGCGACGGTTAGGAGTGACATTTCACGAATTTGAGGAGCAACTGTGTGGCACCGGGATCAGTCCGTTCTTTCTGAGTTGAGAAGCAAGCTGTCAACCCAGGGCAGTGTAGCAACCCACTCCTCGTGTTCCTCTCTGGACCTAACCTACTACCCCACTACTTTTTCTCACCTCCCACCACCTCCCATCACCATTCTTCACCATTCTTCACCCCTCTTCACCACTCTTCACCCCTCTTCACCACTCTTCACCCCTGTTCGCCTCTATCAGAACGTCAAGGCAGCATTTGACCAAGGCAGGGACTACAACTTCGTACGGATGGAGCAGGTACTATCCGGCCAGGTGCTATCTGGTCAGGTACTATCTCGTCAGGTGCTATCTGGTCAGGTACTATCTCGTCAGGTGCTATCTGGTCAGGTAATATCTCGTCAGGTGCTATCTGGTCAGGTGCTACCTGCCCAGGTTTTTTCCCATCCCCATCCATCCCCCACCTTGCCTACTCCCCTCCTCCCTCCTACCTCTCCTCCCTGCCTCTTGAGAGAGCCAGGCAACACCAGTGCCCCCCACCATAGTCACCCCCCACCATAGTCACCTCACCCTGCACCAGATCCAGCTTCTTACTCTCTTAGCGCCTTCAAATTACCAGGAATGAATTCCTCTAGCGCCTTTGAAATGTCCTCCTCTCCTCTTCCCTTCCTCCCGCCTACCCCTCCTTCCCCCCACCTCAGGAGGCCCAGGCAACACCAGTGCCGCCCTCCATAGCCACACTGCAGCAGATCCAGCTGCTCATTCTGTTGGCCCTTTCCAAAGGCATGGCTGCTACTGCATAGTGCTACCTGTTAATGCCACTTCCTAGTGCATTCCCTACCAGTGCCGCCCTCCATAGCCACACTGCAGCACCAGCTCCTCATTCTCCTGGCCCTCTCTAAAGGCATGGCTGCCACCACATAACGCTAGCTCTAAGGGTTACCTCCTCCTAGCTATGAGCCAGGCCGCCCCTGTGCCAGGCAACACCAGTACCGCCCTCCATAGCCACACTGCAGCAGATCCAGCTCCTCATTCTACTGGCCCTCTCTGAAGGCATGGCTGCTACTTCGCAGTGATAGCTCTACTCCTCATTCTACTAGCTCTATTTCTTCAAACGGGAGTCTACATTTTACTCCCGAAACCCTAATCTTGACCAAATGTTACTGCGGAAGAAAACTGTAGGCACAAAATTCGAATGTCTGCTTACCAACACTCACACTGGCAAGCGTGGTCCAAAATATTACCGTCATCGCCCGGATAGTAGACATATATGTCTTATCTCATACACTACTCAAAATGCTTGGGTTATCTTGTATTTGGGACGGTTTAGAGTGTCTTATAAGCCTTATAAATGGACAAAGAACCGTTTAGAAGATACCTACCCCCTCGTTATACAATCGCCCCTAACCCCTACACTGGCTTAACTCGTACACACAAATAGGTGCCTTATAATGAGGCTAGCCTGTTTATAATAAGAGACACCCTGATAATAGACAACCCCTGTCTGCTATTCAACACTGTCTACTACCATATCCGGGCGATGACGGTATTTTTCTGAACCCACGAAGGACAAAGGTGGACCCTCGTTTCAACAAAACATTGGTGTACGTAACAAGTGCTTTCCGCATTGTTCAACTGAGCCAGTCGTCCCCTGTGCCCATTTTTCACAGCCACCCAAGCAGATCCACCTCAATTTCTGAGCATTCATAAATAGGTATGGTTGCTACCTCACAGCACTATCCGCATAGAAATACCTCTTATTGCCCTCCAAGTGCTTACATCAAGGTACAACATTTCAGGGGGCAGGGCAGGGCAGGCCGTGATCAGCAGGGCAGGTACAACAAATGATTCATTAAGAACAGCGAGGATAGTACTGATAAGCATACCGGTAGTGAGCACTTGAGCTTCTAACCTCCCACGATGCCACTAGGAAATTGCTTTCAACACATTGCGCGAACATCGCTTCTACTATGCTACAAACAGAGAACCCTAAATGGAGGAGAAACCTGGGCTGCAGCAGCCCTGTGTCGAAGGTGGTGGAGGGTGGTCAAGGGTGGTGGAGGGTGGCAGTGGGTGGTGGTGATGGTGGCGGCGATGGTGGCGACAGTGGTGATGACGGTGATGTGCAAAATACCAATGCCACTGTTGGTCTTAGATGACACAAGGGTGGGCAAGATTGGCTAGGGTTTGACATTGAGTTAAACACTGGGTTAGCAAGTTGCCAACCAGACGAATGTGCAGGTGCAGGGGCAGCAGGGGGCAGGGGCTGAGGTTAGAGGCAGGGGCGGGGGTAGCGTTGACAAAGGAAGGACAGAGATGGTCAATCCGGTGCAGAGGGAGGGCTGGTGAGAGGTTTGGGGACCTGATTCTTCAGAGAATTCTAAGAACTCTGTCAGTTGGCCAAGTCAAGGGGAGGCTTGGTAGCAGACAAGGCTTGATGCGAGGAGGAGGGATGGGGGAGGACGGAGATGGGTGAACGGTGGGGAGTGAGGGCTGGTGAGAGGATTGGCGGGCATTTCTGCTCTCTCAATTGTACAAGTCAAGGGGAGGCTTGGTAGCAGACAAGGTTTGATGCGAGGAGGGATGGGGGAGGACCGAGATGGGTGAACGGCGGGGAGAGAGGGCGGGTGAGAGGGACGAGGGGGAGAGAGACGGAGAGGAGAGGGAGGAAAGAGGGGAGGAGGAGCGAGGTGGGGAGGAATGAGGTGAGGGGGTGGTGGATCGTTGCACTGGTTTGTGCGAGGATGTGTGAGAGGGTGTGTGAGTGAGGGATGAGAAAGAGAGGGACTTGTGGGGTTTAATGGCGCGGGGTAGGTGTGTGGGAGAGGGTGAGCGGCTCGAGGAGGAAGAGGTAGAGGAGATGGAGACGGGGGAGGAGGAGAGTGAGGTGAGTGAGGAGGAAGAGGATGAGGAAGAAGGGGAGGATGTGTGGGTGAATAGGAGGCTTGTAGAGTACATGTTGCTGCTGCCGGTCTTGAGTGCTTGCACTCTCTTGGGACCAATCTGTTGTGGCAGGTGGGGAGAGAGAGGGAGAAGGAAGGGTGAGAGGGGGCACTAAGTGCTTAGTGCAATTTACTACATCCCAGCCACCCTGTCAGCAGGCTTCTGACTGGCTCTATCCTCCCTGTTTTGATCAATAATGAGTTTCCCATTCGGATCACTTTTTAGTCGGGCAACAGAGCTTGCTGCTAACTACACTCCCTTGAATTGAGAGCCACCCTGTCAGCAGCGTTCTGACTGGCTCTATCCTCCCCGTTTCGAAGCCCTTGAAGAGGCACCTCAGTCGAGGTACCTCAGAAACAGTTTCCAGGATATCAGCACTCTCATCCCCTCACCTTTCTGAAGAGCATGCTGCAGGTGGCAGGGAAATACTGCGCGAGGTACATGAGGAGGTGACTGTTGAATCAATCAACTCACCAGCCAGTCACCCTGCCCCCCGGCTGATGGCACTTCACCTGGATATCAGCACTCTCATCCCCTCACCTTTCTGAAGAGCATGCTGCAGGTGGCAGGGAAGAACTGTGCGAGGTACATGAGTAGCAGCACACCTTTGAATCGACTCACCAGTCACCCTGTCACCTGAATGCCAGCCGGCACTGCCCAACCCTCACCTTTCTGAAGAGCATGCTGCAGGTGGCGGGGAAATACTGCGCGAGGTACATGAGTAGCAGCACCGGCTGTGGGGTATATGGGGGGACACGCATGCGGGGGTGCAGATGGGGGATAGGGAGGAAAGAGGGGGGAAAGGGGGAGGTTGAGAGGAGTATGCTGCAGGTGGGAGGGAAGAACTGCGCGAGGTACATGAGTAGCAGCACCGGCTGGGGGGTACAGGTGGGATGGGGGAAGGCACAGATGGGGGCAGGGGAAGGGGTTGAGAGGAGTATGAGCAGGTGGGAGGGAAGTACTGTGCGAGGTACATGCGTAGCAGCACCGGCTGGGGGGTACAGAGGAGGATGGTTGCAAGGCACGAATGGGGGGGTGCGGATGGGGGAAAGGCACTGCACTGGGTGCTCGAGAAGCAGTATGAGATGAAGGGCACGCGGTGCATGAAGTGGGAAAATGGGAGAAGCTTCAGCAGAGGCTCATGAAATTCAAAGCAGTGTGAGCACATGGCAGGCAGATATGTACTGCACTGCCCTACTTTGCCCCTACTTTGTCCCTACTTTGCCCCTACTTTGCCCCTACTTTGTCCCTACTTTGCCCCTACTTTGCCCCTACTTTGCCCCTACTTTGTCCCTACTCACATGTCTGGAGATCCATGCTTCTTCTAGCCTCCAAGCAGCAGCGCTCACTATGAGCTCTGCACATCGCGATGCTGGCATGCGCGAGTCCTGTGGAGAGAGAAGGGAAATGGGGAGCGAGATGTGGGGGACAAGAGGCAGAACAGTGGGTGGCATGCAGACTCAAAGGGGAGAGGGAGGAGCAAGCAGTAGCGCTCACAATGAGCTCAGCACATTGCGATGCTGGCATTTGCGAGTCCTGAGAGGATGGAAGGGAAAGGGGAGAGAGATGTGGGGGGGGTGAGGTGTGGGGAATGAGGGCTAGATGGAAGGGGGGAAGGAAGGAAAGGCATGAGCAAATCCACCCAATTCACCCACTCACGCACTCTCCCACTCACCCACCCACCCACCCACACTCACCCACCACACAGTCCCGCACTCACTTTCTCATCTCCCCCAGCAACAGCAGCAGGAACATGTACTTGATCAGCGGAGGGCTTGGACGCAGAGTTGATCTCCCCCAGCAGCAGCAGCAGGAACATGTACTTGATCAGCAGATTGCTTCGAGGCGGATTTGATTGCTCTTTCAGCAGAGCCCTCAGTGGCAATCGTCCTTTCATACGTCTCAAGACTCAGCACACCCTCCTACCCACCCCACACAGTCCCGCACTCACTTTCTCATCTCCACCAGCAGCAGCAGCAGGAACATGTACTTGATCAGCAGATTGCTTCGAGGCGGATTTGATTGCCCCCTCAGCCGATCCTTCACCCACTCACCCATTCACCCGCCCTACCACTCAGTTTCTCAGCTCACCTTCTCATCCCCCCCAGCAGCAGCAGCAGCAGTAGCAGAATCTTGTGCCTGATCAGCAGATGGCTTGGATGCGGATTTGATTGCCCCCTCAGCCGATCCTTCACCTACTCACCCATTCACCCGCCCTACCACTCAGTTTCCCAGCTCACCTTCTCATCCCCCCCAGCAGCAGCAGCAGCAGTAGCAGGAGTAGCAGTAGCAGGATCTTGTGCCTGATCAGCAGATGGCTTGGATGCGGATTTGATTGCCCCCTCAGCAGAGCCCTCAGTGGCGATCGGCCCTTGTGACGTCTCAAGACTCAGCACAGCCACTCACCCTCCAACCCCCCGCTCACCTTTTCGTCTTCCCCAGCAGCAGCAGCATGTGCCTGATCAGCAGATGGCTTGGATGCGGATTTGATTGCCCCCTCAGCAGAGCCCTCAGTGGCGATCGGGCCGGGGCACACGAGCGTGACGGCCACACCGTGCTGCACCGCTTCGTACCGCAGCGTGTTGAAGTACCCATGCAGGGCGTGCTTGGTGGCGGCGTAGACGCCCTGCGTGGGCGCTGGGAGCTTGCCTGCTGCACTGCTCACCTGTTTTATGGCAGGGGGGGGGGGGGGGGAGGGGGGGGAAACGGGATTGGGGAGAAGATTGGAAAGTGGAAGACTGAGAGGGGCGTGCTCGGTGGCGTGCTCGGTGGCGTGCTCGGTGGCGTGGCGGTGTATTCTCCCCTGCGTGGGCGCTGGAGGTTTTTTTTAGAAGTCTCAAAAAAACCCTACAGCATCATGGAAGACTGAGAGGGGCGGGCATGGTGGCGTGGCGGTGTATTCTCCCCTGCGTGGGCGCTGGGAGCTTGCCTGCTGCTGCACTGCTCACCTGCATTTACAAAGCGGCAAGGGAAAGGGAGGGGTTTAACAAAGGATCTGCTTCGTGCTTCGCTGCATCATACACGGCAGCAGGGAGCGCACGAGCTCAACCCAAACACAAGCCACCACCACACTTACCCAATCCAACCAATCTCTTTGGCAGTAGCGGCAGCAGCAGCAGCAGCACTCACAACTAGAACTTCATTTCACATCAGTACTCACCATTAGGATCTGCCCCTTGTCGCGCTGCATCATGTTTTGAGTCGACTCAAAACACTAGGATCTGCCCGTGCTGCATCGTGTTTTGAGTGGACTCAAAACACTAGGATCTGCCCGTCCTGCATCGTGTACGGCAGCAGGTAGCGCATGAGCTGCTGAATACAAGACAGCACAAGCCAGCAGATTCCTTCACTCGCATACCACGTGCGTGCAGCAGCAGCAGTAGCAGCAGCAGCAGCACTCACAACTAGAACTTCATTTCACATCAGTACTCACCATTAGGATCTGCCCCTTGTCGCGCTGCATCATGTTTTGAGTCGACTCAAAACACTAGGATCTGCCCGTGCTGCATCGTGTTTTGAGTCGACTCAAAACACTAGGATCTGCCCGTCCTGCATCGTGTACGGCAGCAGGTAGCGCATGAGCTGCTGAATACAAGACAGCACAAGCCAGCAGATTCCTTCACTCGCGTACCACGTGCGTGCAGCAGCAGCAGCAGCAGCAGCACTCACAACTAGAACTTCATTTCACATCAGTACTCACCATTAGGATCTGCCCCTTGTCGCGCTGCATCGTGTTTTGAGTCGACTCAAAACACTAGGATCTGCCCGTGCTGCATCGTGTACGGCAGCAGGTAGCGCATGAGCTGCTGAATACAAGACAGCACAAGCCAGCAGATTCCTTCACTCGCGTACCACGTGCGTGCAGCAGCAGCAGCAGCAGCAGCAGCAGCAGCAGCAGCAGCAGCACGACCACTCACCACGAGAATCTGCCCCTTGTTGCGCTGCATCATGCATGGCAGCAGGTACCGCGTTAGCTCTATGGTGGCTACCACGTTGACCTCTAACATGCCCTGAACAGAGTAGAGGGGAGGAGAAGCGGGGAAGGCGGAATAGGAATGGGATGGGGAAGGAAAAGGGTAGGCAAAGACACAGCAGGTAGCGCGTGAGCTCTGTGGCTATGAAGTTGACCTCTAGCATGCCCTGATGGGGGGAGACAGAGGGGAGGTGAGGATAAGGGGAGGCAAAGAGGGAGTGCAAGAGGTGAAGAGAGCGAGGAGAGGGGGAAGCAAGGAGAGGGGAGCGAGGAGTGGATGGGGGATGCGGGAAAATGGATGGGAAAGGATGTGGATGCATGTAATTCCTTCTTGCATGGGGAGCGAATAGTGCAAGAACGACGATGAAGGGAGGTCCCGATGGTGGCAACTCCTTTGTCTGAAGGCAGGTGGGGAGAGAGGCAGGTGGGGAGAGAGGAAGGTGGGGAGAGAGGAAGGTGGGGAGAGAGGCAGGTGGGGAGAGAGGAAGGGGGTGAGGGGGGAGAGGGGGGGGTGGGGGGGAAGGGGGAAATAGGGGAAATGGGGGAGGGGGAAAGGGGGGAGGGGGAAAGGGGGAGAGGGAAAGGGGGAGGATGCTATTCTGTGCTCATAACGGGGTGAGAGCAAGAACCTACTCTGCTAATAACGGGGTGAGAGCAAGAACCTACTCTGCTAATAACGGGGTGAGAGCAAGAACCTACTCTGCTAATAACGGGGTGAGAGCAAGAACCTACTCTGCTAATAACGGGGTGAGAGCAAGAACCTACTCTGCTAATAACGGGGTGAGAGCAAGAACCTACTCTGCTAATAACGGGGTGAGAGCAAGAACCTACTCTGCTAATAACGGGGTGAGAGCAAGAACCTACTCTGCTAATAACGGGGTGAGAGCAAGAACCTACTCTGCTAATAACGGGGTGAGAGCAAGAACCTACTCTGCTAATAACGGGGTGAGAGCAAGAACCTACTCTGCTAATAACGGGGTGAGAGCAAGAACCTACTCTGCTAATAACGGGGTGAGAGCAAGAACCTACTCTGCTAATAACGGGGTGAGAGCAAGAACCTACTCTGCTCATAACGGGGTGAGAGCAAGAACCTACTCTGCTAATAACGGGGTGAGAGCAAGAACCTACTCTGCTCATAACGGGGTGAGAGCAAGAACCTACTCTGCTAATAACGGGGTGAGAGCAAGAACCTACTCTGCTAATAACGGGGTGAGAGCAAGAACCTACTCTGCTAATAACGGGGTGAGAGCAAGAACCTACTCTGCTAATAACGGGGTGAGAGCAAGAACCTACTCTGCTCATAACGGGGTGAGAGCAAGAACCTACTCTGCTCATAACGGGGTGAGAGCAAGAACCTACTCTGCTAATAACGGGGTGAGAGCAAGAACCTACTCTGCTAATAACGGGGTGAGAGCAAGAACCTACTCTGCTAATAACGGGGTGAGAGCAAGAACCTACTCTGCTAATAACGGGGTGAGAGCAAGAACCTACTCTGCTAATAACGGGGTGAGAGCAAGAACCTACTCTGCTCATAACGGGGTGAGAGCAAGAACCTACTCTGCTAATAACGGGGTGAGAGCAAGAACCTACTCTGCTAATAACGGGGTGAGAGCAAGAACCTACTCTGCTAATAACGGGGTGAGAGCAAGAACCTACTCTGCTAATAACGGGGTGAGAGCAAGAACCTACTCTGCTAATAACGGGGTGAGAGCAAGAACCTACTCTGCTCATAACGGGGTGAGAGCAAGAACCTACTCTGCTAATAACGGGGTGAGAGCAAGAACCTACTCTGCTAATAACGGGGTGAGAGCAAGAACCTACTCTGCTAATAACGGGGTGAGAGCAAGAACCTACTCTGCTCATAACGGGGTGAGAGCAAGAACCTACTCTGCTCATAACGGGGTGAGAGCAAGAACCTACTCTGCTAATAACGGGGTGAGAGCAAGAACCTACTCTGCTAATAACGGGGTGAGAGCAAGAACCTACTCTGCTAATAACGGGGTGAGAGCAAGAACCTACTCTGCTAATAACGGGGTGAGAGCAAGAACCTACTCTGCTCATAACGGGGTGAGAGCAAGAACCTACTCTGCTAATAACGGGGTGAGAGCAAGAACCTACTCTGCTCATAACGGGGTGAGAGCAAGAACCTACTCTGCTAATAACGGGGTGAGAGCAAGAACCTACTCTGCTAATAACGGGGTGAGAGCAAGAACCTACTCTGCTAATAACGGGGTGAGAGCAAGAACCTACTCTGCTAATAACGGGGTGAGAGCAAGAACCTACTCTGCTCATAACGGGGTGAGAGCAAGAACCTACTCTGCTAATAACGGGGTGAGAGCAAGAACCTACTCTGCTAATAACGGGGTGAGAGCAAGAACCTACTCTGCTAATAACGGGGTGAGAGCAAGAACCTACTCTGCTCATAACGGGGTGAGAGCAAGAACCTACTCTGCTCATAACGGGGTGAGAAGGATGGCCTTACCCGGAGAGTGTCCTCAGGAGTGTCCTCACAAGTGAGCTTCTGCACAGGGGCGAACGGAGACGAGGAGGGAGTGGGGGGAGGGTGGGGGGCGGGGAACATGGGCTAAGAAAGCAGAGCGAGGGGGATCGGGAGGGCCATGGTGAGTGGGGGATCCCGATCCCGATCAGGATCGGGAGGGCCTATGGGATCAGTGTGAGCGGGGGAATGTGAACGAGGGTGACAGTGGTGATGGTGTGGGTTATGGTATGGGTGATGGTGTGGGTTATGGTATGGGTGATGGTGTGGGTTATGGTATGGGTGATGGTATGTGTGTGAGAGAATGAAGAGAAGAGACTGGAGGAGGGGGGAGGGAGGGGGGTGTAGGTAGCATAATATATCCTTCAAAAATTCTCAGAAAGGGAGAGGGGAGAGGGGAGAGGGGAGGGGGGAGGGGGGGTGTGTACCTAGTCTATGCCACTAATCAAGCGCTGATGCACAACAGTTACAACCAGCACGTCACCCTCCCTCCCCTCTCCCCTCCTCCAGTCCCGCACCCTCCCCTCTCCCCTGGACAACCAGCACGTCACCCCCCCCCCCCCCCCCCCCCGCCCCTTCCCCCACCTCGCATGCGACCCCGCCCTTCTCCCCGCCCCTCAGAAAGCGCTCTCCGCCTGCTGTTGAGGCGCCTCAGTCGACTCAAAAGCCACTCACCGGGCGGGGATGAGCAGCATTCAGAACCAGCACGTCAACCCCGCACGGCCCTTCCCCCTCCCCGCGGAACGCGCTTTCCGCCTGGCGCACTGCGCCGCGCAGCACGTCCGCGCCCCCCTTGAGGTCGAATGGCAGCACCACTATCCCCTCCGGCGCGTGCTTCCCCCGGCACGAGGCGCGCACTGCCTCCAGGCGCTCCGCGGAGCGCGAGGAGAGGATCAGCCGCGCGCCCATCGCCGCGAAACGCTGCGCCAGCTCCTGCCCTGGTAGGGGGAGGGGCGCAGAGGGGGGAGGGGCGCAGAGGGGGGAGGGGCACAGAGGGGGGAGGGGCGCAGAGGGGGGTGGGGGGGAAAGCAGGAAGGGTGGGAAAGGGGGGTCGCGCGGAGGAAGTGACTCAGGCGTCGCGGAGAGGGGGGGTGGGGGGTGCGGGGAGTGGGGGGTGCGGGGGGTGGGGGTGTGTGGGTAAGGAGAGTAACGAGGGTAACGCGGTGGGTAAGTAAAGGGAGGGGAGTTGGATGAGGGGTAAAAGAACTCAAAGACACTATCTGACTGGGACTGAATCTGAATCACACTCACCAATTCCTTGGCTCGCGCCGGTGATCCACACCACCTTGTCTTCGAATGCCTCTTGCGGCGGCGGGCCCTTGAGGAGCAGCGTCAAGTCCGCTGCGGTAACGCGGAGACCGCGAGGGGCACGTGATGCGGGGGGGATGAGTGGGGGGGGGGGGGGGGAAGGGTGCGGGGGAGATGCGGGGGAGATGCGGGGAAGATCCAAAGGAGAGATGCGGTAAGGGATGCGGTAAGAGATGCAAGGGAACTGCAGAACGAACTTGTGCAGAGTCCCTTGCGGTACGTTTAGTGCACGTGTCGTTCACGTGGCGCACGGGACACTGCACAACGAGCTTTGTACCACGGGCGGCGAAGAAGACGACGATACGGCAGGTAACAATATTTGTAGCGACGAAAATAATACCGTGCCACGCGCGGTAAAGAATACCACGACACTACTAGTAGAACAAACAGAGCGATCCAATAAAAGCACGTTCGAACTTCCTGCCGTCAGCCGTGGGGAAGACGAAAACGCAGCGGATGAATAGGACGAGCGGGACGGGTAATGGGAAGCTCGTACCGTCCGCGGTAAAGAAGAAAATGATACGCCATATAAACAGGAAGAGCACGAGCGCCGCCGTGGCTACGCTGGCGAAAACGACTGGATCCGACGTGTCCATGATTGTAGACAAGGCTGTCAAAGCTGACGTGTCCATTAGCGACGACGCCCAAGGAACTACCGTATAGCGTAAAGTATGATTTAGTGTTATGGCGGTACGAACTCTCGAGACTCCTTACTGGACTTGAGCGTATGATCTAGCACTCTTGAGCGTATGATCTAGCACTCTTGACTTGGATAAATCACACTAGCTGAAAACAGTAGCTATCGCGTCAATCAAGTAGGCGGATCGGGGGTCTCTTCTCGACTCGATTGCCCGAAAGCACCCGCTACGACTGGAGGTGCTTCAGTCTATTTGTTGGTCTAATTGTTCGAGCGCATGAATTCAATCGCACCCACCGAACAGACTCACTGACCAACACTCATAGACCGACCTCTGCAAGCTATTTCTGAGATTCCAAGAGGGAAAAGACGAGCCAATCACTCAACCCAAAAACAAAAGGCATCGCCATGTTCCGCCGATGCTTTTCTGGCGGAAACCGCCTTCCTTCCACCCTTCCGCGAACACCCGCTTTCTCGAGAGAATTGCCCGACAGCCTTCAGTCGTGGTGGAAAGTCCCTGGGGAAGAGCGAGCAGGGTGCGGAAAATATGGGCGGGCGGAAGGGTCTCCCCTTCCCCCATTTCCGCATGGCAAACATCACATCCACATCACATTGGTCGAGTCGCGCTGGCCTCAACGCGAAGCTCATCCCGTTCGGCGCAGCTGGGAAAAAAACTCAAATAAGTTCGGTTGGAGTCGGTTGGTTTGGAAGAGTCGACTCTAATCGAGACGAGACTCGACGCGGGTTCCAATCGAGGGGAGATGCCCGTGCGTGCTGTGGGGAACAATGCGTGAAAGAGTCGAGCGCACAGCTGTTGTGGAATCGCACAGGCGGGGAGGGTAGGAGGGGGGATGAGTTGGTGAAGCGGAAGGTTCTTTGCAATTTTTTTTTCGGGGAAGGAGAGTTGAGGGGGAAGGGAAAAGTGGGAGGGGGCGGGGGAGGGGGAGGGGATGGATGGTTTCCGAGATTGGGGAGTGTGAATGGGGGAATTGTGGATTGAAATAATAATAAAGTCTGGGACACCCATCCCAGAGTGGCTTCTTTGGAATAATGTAGCTAGAACCAAAATGTATCGGAAAGGGTTTGGAATGAATACGAATCGTCAGTGAGCGAGGGAACACACTGTGACTGACCAACCTAGATTGCGATTAATTTGCGAATTTATGCGTATTGATGGGGAAACGCTTAGTTGGTCACGTGAAATACTTCACTGAAAGGAGATATACCAGCTATGAAAAAAAACTTGTGTGCCAAATTGCCAATGATGCACAGCCTTCGAAACGCCACCCTTGGCGGTGATTCTATGACCTGCCCTGCGTGATGTGAAATGGGTGACGACAGCTGTTCGGTCCGATACAGTACATCGTTAATGACGTGTCTGTCTCGACTCTCGACTCGAGCCGATTCGCGTAATGCAATGGCCACCAAGGCGCGGAACAACCAATCAACGAGTGGTCGAGGCTTGAGATCTGAAGACATCACCCTATGATAGACGCAACAGTAGCGAATGGACCAATCGCAACGACATGAAATGCTCCAAAATGCACGAGGCGCAGACCTACAATCACTCAACACCACAAGCAGCCCAGTTTTACTTTCCTATAACGAGCGGCAAGGATTATTGATCAAATCACCTTCTCGAGTAGCTGTAGTGTTGCTATGACGATACAGCCAGTATGACCGCGCAACCACACATAATGCTTGCCATACCATATCCCATATTTAATTGTATGTAGTAAATAAAAATATGTCTGTAAATACTTGCTGTTAATATATATGAACATATATAATGAAATGCTTATATCACTGTATTTTCTTTGCTGTTATTTCTAGTATATATTTGAATATATTTGACAGGTGTGGTGCTGACTTCATTGCACTCTAAGAGCTTCCCACCAAACTGGCTGGAGACCGTGTCTGTAAGGAAAATTCCTTTTCCTTACTTCGCGTCCCCGCTCAGCGCGTACACCACTGTAGCCCCACAGTCAGCACCCTTAGCACTCGCAACTCTCGCATCGACAATCCTCCCGCCACCTTCGCACGTCGCACCCCGACCTCACGGCTCGGCGGGTAACCCGCGCTCCGGGCCTCCGCTTCGACACTTTTCCCAACCTCAGTCCCAGGCCCGTCACGCGACAACCACAGCCCATTACCGTTACCACTGTAGTTTCGCTATATATTCTTTGCTCATGCCTTCGCTCATTGTATTCTTGCTTCGATAGTGCAATTCTCGTTTGTTCACTCAATTGCACTCGTAACACTTGGTATTCAGAGCCTACGATCTCTTCTCGGACCGCACCTACACCTTCGCTTCCCCACTATCTCAAATTTTTGGGGGGGGTAGACGTCTCTCAGCGACACAACACCGCCGCTCGTAGTGCTCTCTCGTAAGCACGCACGGCCACAACCGAGGCTCTCGCTGAGCTCGTCCGACACCCCCGCCATGGCCGAATTCACGCTCGCAACATTGACGCAGGAGCAGCTCGACCGTCTGGTGCGCCAACTTGAAGATTCAGCGCTCGAAATTGCGACGCTCACGGCGGAACGTGGCTCCACGCGTCAGCAATCAACGGTGAACACTCCAGCGCCACCACACGCACCGACAAATGCATCTGCACAATCGGACGAGCCGATCGTCATTTCGTCCGGCACACCAACACAAAACAACAGCGTGGGACAGCGCTCAGGCGCAGCCAGTGATGGCACCGCCCAGCCGATGCCTGGCATGGGAGGAAACAGGGTCGCACCAAGCCCGCGGGAGCCTCACGAAGCCCGTCGGCACGTGGAGTTCGCGGCGACAAATGGCGAACAGGCCATCATGGCACCAATGCCACTCAAGCCGCAACGCCCGCCCTGCTTCGACCCGAGCCAACGTAGAGGTCCGACGGTTCAATCGTGGGTCTTCACGATGAAAATCTTTTTCGACGCGAATTACGTCGAGTCGGACGCAGGGAAGATTCAGTATGCCGTTTCGCTGCTAAGGGGCCCCGCCATGGACTGGTGGCGAGTCATCGTGACGTCGCCACGCACCTACGAGCCACCGTCGCAATAGGAAGGGCCCACGGGTCCAGCTGTCACCTGGAGTTCATTCTGCGAGACCGCCCAATACAGCACGTGGGATGCGTGGTGCGCAGGGCTTCGGGCGCGCTTCGAGCCGATTGCGGCTTCTATTTCGGCGCGTCAGAGATTGCGCACTTGGCGGCAGCTCGGGTCGGTTCAAGACTATACGAGTGGTTTTCTCGCATTATGCGAGCAGGTCGGCTACATGCACGAAGCGGAGCGGGTGGACCGTTACGTCGGAGGGCTGAAGCCGGACATCTCGCACGAAAGTATGCTACGCGGGCCCTCGAACTTCAACGAGATTCTCGCGCTCGCCGAGAAAATCGACATTTTACGCCGTCCGAGACCGGGGTCCTACTACGGACATCGTCCTCGGGGACCGACCGAGCACGCCACGGTACACGCCGTTGCGACGAACGCAGCTGCCGCGTCGTTTAAGGGGCGCTGCTTTGCTTGCAATAGGCCGGGCCATCGCAAGAGTGAATGCCCAGAGGAGTTAAGGCGCCGCGGAGCAGAGCAGGGGAGGGAGTCTCGAAGGCAGGGAAACGCCAGCAGTCAGTAAGAATCGGGCCAACTACTGACGAGACTGCCTGCTCGCCCAACCCCACCGACCCTCACCGAGTCACAGTACCGATTCGTGCTATCGATCGGACTCGGACGAATAAGGAGGGTACAGCGACGGATTGCCCAGTACTGATCCACGAGAAAATACAGGGAGCAGCAATGAAGATTTTTATCGACGAAGGATCAAGTCACAGTTTAGTTAATACCGCAACTGCACGGAAACTGCAACTGACACTTAGCCGTTGTTTACCTGAGATAGACGCACGCTTAGTTGACGGCACGCTGCTGGCCATACGGGAGAAGGTGGAAAGAGTAACAGTGCGCTGCGGGGGAAACTTCGGGTTGACACAGGAAATGCTCGCGACGACACTGGATGGGCACGACATTTTACTGGGACGTGATTGGCTGCGACGATACAACCCAAGAATTGACTGGACGACAGGAAGCTGCACAGTGCAAAGTAGTAGTAACTGGATCGAACTACCTCGCTGGCAGTCGCCTGAGTCTTCAACGGTCCACGTCAATGCCATCTCGATGAAACGGGCAGTCGCCGCTGGAGCTGACGTGTACGCAGTGGACATTGCCGTAGTAGAAGAAGCAGAGCAGCCGAGCGATTTTCAGAAACTGTTAGCAGCAATACCGCCCGAACTACAGGAACTGTTGGAACGATACCCCGGGATTTTTCCGGACGACTTGCCAGAAGGACTGCCACCTCAGCGGGCACATGACCACCGCATAGAATTAGAACCGGGGGCACAGCCAATTGTACAGCGTCAATTCCGACTGACACAGCCAGAGCTCGACGAACTAAGGAAGCAGTTAGATTACCTGTTAGAGAAAAAATTCATCCGGCCGAGTTCGTCACCGTTCGCCGCGCCGATACTGTTCATGTCAAATGTTCTGTCTGCTACAGTTTGTTTAGGCTGTAGTGGGGTAGTTACTATGGGGTACAGTAAGTTTAGGGTTTCCTACTTGTACCCAACTCTTTCCTAGTGCAATCACTCTTGTTGATTCTGACAGTTCACACCGAAAAAAGACGGGGGTTTTCGCATGTGTATCGACTACAGAGCACTGAACAGGGTAACAGTCAAGTCGCGGTACCCCATTCCCCGCGCCGACGAACTGATCGACCAACTGCGAACAGCACGGGTTTTTTCGAAAATAGATTTACGGGGAGGTTACCATCAGATTAGGGTCGAACCATCGGACTGCGCCAAAACAGCTTTCAGGACTAGGTACGGGTCGTTCGAGTACACTGTGATGCCATTCGGGCTGACCAACGCACTGGCGACTTTTCAGATGACCATGAACGAGGCGTTTAGGCCGCTTTTAGATAAATGCGTGATCGTTTACCTCGACGACATCCTCGTCTACAGTCGCGACAAGCAACAACACTTAGCAGATCTGGAAGCAGTATTTAAGATTTTAGACGAGCATCGGCTACTGACAAAGGGTTCCAAGTGCGAGTTCTTTCAGGACAGGTTAGAGTTTTTGGGGCACGTTATTTCGGAGGCTGGGATCGAAATTGACCCAAAGAAATTAGACACGGTAAAAGCCTGGCACCCCCTGACGAATCTTACGGAACTGCAGAGTTTCTTAGGGTTCGTAAACTACGTGCGTCGATTCGTCCCCGACATGGCACGGTTGACGGCGCCACGGACGGACTTATTACGAAAGGGGGTCGCTTTTACGTGGGGGGAGAAAGAGCATGCTGCCTTCTCTGCCCTGAAAACTGTTCTCTGTTCACTGCCCGTCCTACGCATTGCTGACCCACACCGCCCATTCGAAGTAGTTACTGACGCCAGCGACATCGCCATCGGAGCCGTACTGCTACAAGACTTCGGCAACGGCCTACAGCCCATCGCATATGAGTCACGAAAACTACATGCGCCCAAAAAAAAATACCCGATACACGACCGCGAAATGCTTGCGATCGTGCACGCGTTCAAAGTGTGGCGCTGTTACTTGACCAGCGCAGACGTGACAGTACGGACAGACCATAAATCACTACAGTACCTCTGCGCACAACCACACCTCAACCCACGACAGATTCGTTGGCTCGACTTCCTCGAGTCAAATTTTCACTACACGGTCACCTACAAAAAGGGAGCCTCGAACATCACCGACGCACTGACCCGCCCCACCGCCCAGATCCACGCAATACTACTCGCCCAGACAAGCCCACTAGTGACAGGCCTATTTACCCACGGGTACCAAACCGACCCATTCTTCACAGGAGGAAATTCGCAGCAGTTCGCAACAGCAAGGGGAGTCTATTACGTAAAAGCCGGGACTGATCGCATTTGGGTGCCTGGGTATACACTGCTACGAGAATTACTGTTACAGGATGCACATGACGGAGTTACCTCGGGGCATTTTGGAGTAGAAAAAACACGGCAGCAGCTGCAGCGGTATTATTACTGGCCCGAAATGTTGACCGACGTACAACGACACGTGGCATCGTGTCCCACTTGTCAGCTTATGAAATCATCAAGGCAACGGCCGGCAGGACAGTTGCAGCCGATACCACCTCCAGAGCGTGCTTGGCAGCAGGTGACGATGGACTTCGTCACGGGGTTACCGGCCGGGGCGAGTGGGAACGACGCGATCCTGGTCGTCGTCGATCGACTGACGAAAATGGCACATTTCGCAGCCTGCAAAAATTGAATCACAGCCGAAGAAACAGCACGACTCTTCGTCTCCACCGTCGTTCGATTGCACGGGATACCAGCAGCAATAATCAGCGACCGCGACACGAAATTCACCAGCAACTTCTGGCGGAACCTGTGGCAGCAGTTCGGCACGCGACTGCAGTTCAGTTCATCATACCACCCCGAAACGGACGGACAGACAGAACGGACAAATCAGACCATGGAACAGCTCATCAGGGCCACGTGCGACGACCCGGCCACGTGGGAACAGCATCTGCCACTCATCGAATTCGCGTACAACAACTCGCCATCCGCCACGACCCAACAGTCACCATTTTACCTAAACTACGGACAAGACCCGACAGTACCCATGACCCCGAATCCCGACAACCCAGTACCACGAGCGCAACAGTTCGCCGAAATATTACAAGCAGCACGGACCCGGGCAGCAGATGCAATAAAAAAATCCAACATCATCGCTAAACGTAACGCCGATCGCCACCGCAGACCTGTCACTTACCAGCCCGACGACCTGGTTTTACTTGACACCCACCCAGAACCTCCGCCTGCCCATCACCCCAAAACTCCGCCTCCGATACTGTGGACCATTTCGCATCAGCCACATGATCACACCTGTCACCGCCCACCTCCTCCTCCCTGCTGACTGGTACGTCAGCCCCTCATTCCACGTCAGCCTGCTTCGCCCTTACGTCCCGTCCACGAGCCAACTGCCACGCACTCGCCCAGCCAGCATGACACGACCACCAACTGAACCAATCATCACCCCCGTAAGAATCCTGAGCCACCGAGTTCGTGACCCTCGAGGAGCCCGAAGGATCGAGTTCCTGATCCGTTGGAAAGACCGTACACCCACCGAAGACAACTGGGTTCCCCTGGACAGAATCGAAAACCACCCCGTCCTCACCGAGTATCCGCGCAGCCGAAACTTCAGGGATGTACACGCACTTTCGTAAGGAGGACCTCCTTAGGGGGGGGGGGGGGTAGTGTAAGGAAAATTCCTTTTCCTTACTTCGCGTCCCCGCTCAGCGCGTACACCACTGTAGCCCCACAGTCAGCACCGTTACCACTCGCAACTCTCGTATCGACAATCCTCCCGCCACCTTCGCACGTCGCACCCCGACCTCACGGCTCGGCGGGTAACCCGCGCTCCGGGCCTCCGCTTCGACACTTTTCCCAACCTCAGTCCCAGGCCCGTCACGCGACAACCACAGCTCATTACCGTTACCACTGTAGTTTCGCTATATATTCTTCGCTCATGCCTTCGCTCATTGTATTCTTGCTTCGATAGTGCAATTCTCGTTTGTTCACTCAATTGCACTCGTAACAGTGTCAAACATAAAACGGTCCCCCCAATTCCACGAAAGACTTTGCCAGTGGGCGACACGGAATTTCTTCTCGAACTCCCCCCAAGCAAGTGCGTCGGCGGTTGACGAATATCCTCGGAGCGCTACGAAAGCCTTCAGTTTCCCCGCACCCGCGCAACCACCCATCCATTTACCTTCCTTCCCCCCTCCTATTGGCCCGTCTTCCCTCCATCCTGAGACAGCTTCCCGGGATATCCCCTCCTCCCTTCCCTCTCCCGCCAGTCAAATCCTACCGCTCTCTCGTTTCTAGCAACCGTTTGCAGACGTTTTAGCTGCCCATTCGGCGACCCACCGTTTATTCTCGAGCACGCCACTCCAGCCTTCATGTCCCTCTTGTTTCTTGGAGTAAAGTTCGACAGAAGAAACTGTGGCAGATTCTGCTCCAGCGGCAACCGTTCCGTTTGGTCCCCCTCGCAGATGGTCTTTGAGAAGACGACGATACACTAACCGGCCGACTGTGTTTGCGCCTGCATTTTTTCCGTCTGGCCACGACCCACAGCCCTTCCGGCCACAGCTTTTCCGCCTACAGTTCTTCCGCAAACAGTTCATTTGTCAACAATTCTGATGTTTCCCTGAACCGAACAGTCTCTCCACCTCACAAATTGGACTTTCAAAAACGGTCACAAGTCGTTTCCTTCGTTTGGACATCCTCCATGATCCAGAGTTCACCCTGTTTGATTCTCGAGTATCTACACACTATTGCTCTGATTCCTCTTCGCGTCCAACAGAATAGCCGTGTCCTTGTATATTTTAGGTGAACTCAACTTTACCGTATACTGTGCAGTGAGCACTATCACTTACGTTTACCTCGCATCATCGCACCGACACTGGGAGGATTGAAAAGCGCCTGCTCTTGTTGAGTCACGAAATCGGCACTGGAGTGGAGGACTTGAGATGTGCTCCCGAATAATGAAACGGCTGGCTTCATCTTTTCATTTTCCCGTCAATGTCGGAAACCGAGATTGACCTCGCACAATCTAGGTCAGAAAGGTTCTAGAAAAAGTTATCGTAGAGTTTTCGTTGACCTTGTACATTTGCGTTCGTAGACAAAAAATAGGACCAGCGGTGCACGCACTGTTCAGCTCAGTTCCCAGGCATTGTCTGGGTCAGAAAGGAGCTTGCGCGTTCCGTATTTATTTATTGATACGGCGACTATAGACGCTAGGCCACGAACACTACTATTAAATTACTGCGCGAGCGCTAGGTTAGGAACCAGTAGGGAACCAGCAGCATGGGCTCGTGCTTGTCGAAGAGCAAGGAGCGGCCGCGTGACGCGTCCAAAGCACCGCCAGCCGGTGCCGACGCAACTCAGACGGCTCCGGCTGCCGTGCACGCGAAGCCGGCAAGTACAGACGAAGTGAAAGCTGCCGGGCCGTCAAGTCCAGGGAAAGGTGGAAATGAGGGTTCAGATGGGGTGGGAGGAGCGGGAGGCGCGGAAGCGGCAGGAACAGCAGGGGGAGCAGCAGAAGGAGCAGGGGCAGCCGCAGGATCAGATGCAAATGCGAGTAGACCAACAGGAACATCAGCGGGGAAAGAAGCGGAAAATAACGCGGGTGCTGCTGCCGCAGTCGACGGAGCCGCGTTACAATTTGCCAAGTACGACAAGAACGACACGACCATCCCGTTAGGGTTGCGAACGGACTTCGGCTATAAACGAGACTTTGAGGCGCACTATAAGCTGGGCAGAGAGCTGGGTCACGGACAATTCGGCACGACGTACGAGTCGATTCAGCTAGCCACCGGCGAGCGGGTGGCAGCGAAAGCGATTGAGAAGAAGCAGGTGCGTTTTAAGCAGGCGTATAATAAAACAGGTGAGTGTAACAAGGCAGGCGTATAATGAGGCAAGCGGTAGAGCGAGAGTGAAAGAAGCAAGTTGGGTCACGGGCAATTCGGCACGACGTACGAGTCGATTCAACTAGCCACGGGCGAGCGAGTGGCAGCGAAAGCGATTGAGAAGAAGCAGGTTGTGTATAACGAAGCACGTGCGTGTAACGACGCAGGCGTATAATGAAGCAGGTGAGTGTAATGAGGCAGGCGTATAATGAAGCAATTCGGCACGACGTACGAGTCGATTCAACTAGCCACAGGCGAGCGGGTGGCAGCGAAAGCGATCGAGAACAAGGAAGTGCGTATAATGAAACAGGTGCGTGTAACGAAGAAGGCGTACAATGAAGCAGGTGCTTGTAACGAAGCAGTTGCGCAGAGCGAGAGTGAAAGGAGCAAGCTGGGTCAATTCAACATTTACCGGCGCGCGATTGGCAGGTGCGTATTCAAAGGAGGTGCTAATAACGAATCATGACGCGAGTGGCATGTGTTTCGACATGTCTCAAAACGACAAAAACAATTAGAGATTAGTAGCATATCGACATGTAACGTCTTTTCCCCCCATAACTCTCCCACCACTCATCTCTCCACCACACCCACAGATGAAGCTGCCTATAGCAGCGGCGGACGTGCGGAGGGAGGTGGCGATAATGAAGCTGCGGTTTCAACACAGTTCTCAAATCCCACTACTCTCTCCGGTCCCCTTCTCCCCCCCCCCCCGTTTCCCCCCCATCCCATTCCCCCCTCTCCCCAACCACCATCTCCCCGCCCACAGATGAAGCTGCCTATAGCAGTGGAGGACGTGCGGAGGGAGGTGGCGATAATGAAGCTGCTGTCGGGCCATCCCAACGTGGTGCAGTTCATTGACGTGTTTGAGGACACCGACTTTGTGTACATCTGCATGGAGTGAGTGCAGTGCATTAGCTGGTACGGAGTGACACTATAGCGGGTATGGTAGTGAGGTGGCGATAATGAAGCTGTCAGGCCATCCCACCGTGGTGCAGTTCATTGACGTGTTTGAGGACACCGACTTTGTCTACATCTGCATGGAGTGAGTGCTTATAGCGGGTATGGAGTGTACTGAGGTGGCGATAATGAAGCTGCTGTCGGGCCATCCCAACGTGGTGCGTTTATCGATGTTTTCGAGGACACCGACTTTGTGTACATCTGCATGGAGTAGACTATAGCGGGTATGGAGTGTAATGAGGTGCAGTTTTGTTAATGTGTTTCAGAACAGCGACTTCGTGTATGTCTGTCTGCATGGAGTGAGTGCATTGTGGCGGATATGACGCATCCTCTCACGTCATTCCCACCGCCCTCCCTTCTTTCCTCCTCTTTTACATTTGATTGCTCCCCTTTCCTCCCTTCTCCGGCCCCTCCTGACCGCTCTTCTCCTCTTCTCCCATCCTCTCCCCCCATCCGCTCACTCTCCCCTCCCTTCCTCCATGGCAGAATCTGTGAGGGTGGCGAACTCCTTGACCGAATCCTTAGCAAGTAAGATTGTAGAACAGAAAAAACTAAGGATATGGAAATTAAGTTAGTGAGAAGTAAACTCAAAAGGGGACCGGAAACGAAGGAAGCACGGCGCGGACGCCGGGGCGGAATGTGAGACAACCAAGGGGAGGGAAGGGCGATGATAGCGGGATGGAGTGGGAATGGGGGGATCAGGGAGTGTGGGTTGGGGCATGGGGGGAGGAATGGAAGTCAGCTGTATTATCCGAAGCATGCATAATGAGCCGTTATGGTTGATTGTGGCATGCTATCTCCTTCACCCTGTCGCTTCCCCTCGCCCTCTCCATCCCCCTCGCCCTCACCCTCACCATCCCCATCCCCATCCCCATCCCCATCCCCCTCGACCCTCCCACTCCCCATCCACACCCCCCTCCCCCTCGCCCTCCCCCTCCCCTTGCCCCCCTCCTCCCTCCCCGACGCCCCCTTGTTTGTACTTGTATGTGTTTTCTTTCCTTCATATGCGAGCAGGCGGGAGAACCGGTATTCAGAGAAGGATGCAGCAGGGGTGGTGCGGCAGATGCTGAGCGTGGTGGCCAAGTGCCATCTGCACGGGGTCGTGCACCGCGACTTAAAGCCCGAGGTGAGAGAGGGACGGGCATGAAAGGGAGAGAAGGAGGGTATGGACGGGTTTGAATCCAGAGAGGCATGAGACGCATACCACCGGATGCTGAGGACTCAAAAATGGCCCAGTGCCACCTGCATGGGGTCGTGCATCATGACTTGAAGCCCGAGGTGCGAGAGAGAGAGGTACAAGGAGAGGCAAGGGGAGGGACGGGCGTGAAGAAAGAGCGACGTAGGGCGCACAACACAATGTCGCTGAGTGGCGTGTCCAAGTGCCACCAAACGCACAGCGTCATTCACCTCCCTGCCTTTTTCCCCCTCCTCCCTTACTCCCCCACCCTTTCCCCCTTCCCCCTCTACCCCTACTCTTCCCGAATATCCTCCACCCCTCTCCCTTCCGCCCGTCTCCCACCTCACTCTTCAGAACTTTCTCTTCAAGTCCAAGGCAGAGGACGCGCTCCTTAAAGCCACCGACTTTGGCCTCTCGGATTTCAGAAAACCCGGTGAGTGCTGCACGTGGGTATGGCAATGCCGGGTGTGTGAGTGCTATTGGCGCATGTGTTCCTTTCTCACAACTCTCCCATCTCCCCTCGTCTTCTTCTCCCTCCACGCAAGCACTTTACAGACCCCCACAACCCCCTTTATCTCTCCTCTTTTTCCCTCCCCAGGCAAACACTTCACAGACGTGGTGGGAAGCGCCTACTACGTCGCACCTGAGGTGCTCAAGCGGCGGTCGGGGCCGGAGAGTGACGTGTGGAGCATCGGGGTTATCACGTACATTCTGCTGTCAGGGAGGCGGCCATTCTGGGATAGAACGGAGGCGGGGATATTCAACGAGGTGAGAGAGGTGGAGAGCGGTGAGGGCTGGTGGAGAGGGGTGAGGGGGATAAAGGAGCTTAAAACCCGCGGGCCAAGAAGTTCAACCTTAGGAAGGTTGGTTGGGGCGAGCAATGCAATTGGCCAAGATTTTGGGTGCCCGGGCCAAACTCAACCGAAGTTAGGAAGGTTGAACCAATGTAGGCCTTCTTGGCCCTCCGGTTTTAAAGCGGCGGTCGGGGCCCGAGAGTGACGTGTGGAGCATCGGGGTCATCACGTACATTCTGCTGTCAGGGAGGCGACCCTTCTGGGATAGAACGGAGGCGGGGATCTTCAATGAGGTGAGGAGGGGAAAGACTTGGGGGGGTGAATAAGAGAGAGTGATGGAGGAGAATGGGGGAGAGTGGTGGGGAGGAATAGGTGGTAGGAGGTGAGAGAGGGAGAGTGACGTGTGGAGAATCGGGGTCATCACGTACATTCTGCTGTCGGGAAGGCGGCCTTCTGGGATAGAACGGAGGCGGAGATCTTCAATGAGGTGAGATGAAAGGGAAAGAGCTACAGTGGTGGGAGGGGGTTAAGAGAGAGGGAGAGTGACATGTGGAGCATCGGCGTGATCACGTGCATTCTGCTGTCGGGAAGGCGGCCTTCTGGGATAGAACTCAGGCATGGATATTCAATCAGGTGCTGAAGAAGCGGCTTGACTTCAGGGAGAAGCCATGGCCGCACGCGTCATCCAGTGCCAAGGACTTTGTCCCCGTCACCATGCCTTCCCCTCTCCCCACCACCACTCATCACCACTCATCACAACTCAATACCGCTCCTCACCGTCTCCTAACCGTTCCTTACCGCTCATAACCACCCTTCAGGTGCTGAAGAAGCGGCCTGACTTCAGGGAGAAGCCATGGCCTAATGTGTCGTCCAGCGCCAAGGACTTTGTGAAGAAGCTTCTCAAGAAGGACCCCCGCGCCCGACCCACTGCCGCCCAGGCCTTGTGTGAGTGAGCGCATCCTGTACCAAGTGTGCTTGGTGTGAGGTGAGTGCACTAACCCGCACTGCCAGCGCCAAGGCCTTTGTCAAGAAGCTTCTCAAAAAGGACCCCCGCGCCCGACCCACTGCCGCCCAGGCCTTGTGTGAGTCAACGCGCTGTCTGCAAAATGTGCTTTGTTGTGTGTGAGTTAGCGCATGTGCATCCTTGGGGTGGGGGGACAGAGCACTATCCTGACTACCACCGCCATGCGATTGTAAAGAAGCTTCTCAAGAAGGACCCCCGCTCCTGACCCACTGCCGCACAAGCCTTGTGTGAGTGAACGTGCTGCCTGCTAGATGTGCTGTGTGTGTGTGACTGCATGACCTACTGCCGCCCAAGCATTGTGTGAGTGCCCCAAGCGTTGTGTGAGTGCCCCACTGCCGCCCAAGCCTTGTATGAGTGCCCCACTGCCGCCCAAGCCTTGTATGAGTGCCCCACTGCCGCCCAAGCCTTGTATGAGTGCCCCACTGCCGCCCAAGCCTTGTGTGAGTGCCCCACTGCTGCCCAAGCCTTGTATGAGTGCCCCACTGCCGCCCAAGCCTTGTATGAGTGCCCCACTGCCGCCCAAGCCTTGTGTGAGTGCCCCACTGCTGCCCAAGCCTCGTGGGTGAAGGAGGGAGGCGACATGTCGTCTCATCAGAGCCTCTAGACATTGCATTGCACAGAGGACCTCATCAGAGCCTCTAGACATTGCATTGCACAGAGGACCTCATCAGAGCCTCTAGACATTGCATTGCACAGAGGACCTCATCAGAGCCTCTAGACATTGCATTGCACAGAGGACCTCATCAGAGCCTCTAGACATTGCATTGCACAGAGGACCTCATCAGAGCCTCTAGACATTGCATTGCACAGAGGACCATGCTTTCAAACAGCCCTACACTTCCAGATTAGTAGACTTAGTACTACAGATCGTTACTCTTAGCAGGCTTGCTGCGTTTCGAATCCAACAGATTCCGACCATGCTTTCAAACAGCCCGTGACGGCCTCCCCACTCTCCTGGCCACTTACAATCCTCCCACACCCCCCCACCTTTCAGCACACAAGTGGGTGAAGGAGGGGGGCGATGCTTCGTCAGTCCCGCTGGACATAGCAGTGCTGTCCAACATGCGCGAGTTCGTCAAGTACTCGCGCCTCAAGCAGATGGCGCTCAAGGTGGGCTTGCTGCTTGCTACTTGCTGCTTGCTGTGATGCCGTCATGCCACACTGCTGGTGCGTTGGTTGGGCGAGCCATCCCTCCCTCTTCTTGGGTGTGCTGTCCAACATGCGCGAGTTCGTCAAGTACTCGCGCCTCAAGCAGATGGCGCTCAAGGTGAGATGGGGGATGTCTGTGTGTGTAGCTGATGGGCAGTGCCACACGGCTGGTCTCTCTGGTTCATTGAGCCATCACTCAGACGTCACAGAGTGCTCTCCAACATGCGGGAGATCGTCAAGTACTCGCGCCTCAAGCAGATGGCGCTCAAGGTGAGAGGGGGCACGCACACAGGCAAGCACACAAAAGCAGGCACACATGCAAGCACGCACACCGTCAGGCAGGTGTGGTGTTGAAGGCGAGAGGGATCATCCCCCATGTCCCGCTGGACATAGCAGTGCTGTCCAACATGCGCGAGTTCGTCAAGTACTCTCGCCTCAAGCAGATGGCGCTCAAGGTATGAGCGCGGGCACGCACGCTCGTAGGCACGCAGGCAGGCGGGCAGGCAGGCAGGTGAAGAGGGGGCATGCAGGCAGGCAGGTGAAGAGGGGGCAGGCAGGCAGGCAGGTGAAGAGGGGGCAGGCAGGCAGGCAGGTGAAGAGGGGGCATGCAGGCAGGCAGGCAGGTGAAGAGGGGGCAGGCAGGCAGGCAGGCAGGTGACGAGGGGGCAGGCAGGCAGGCAGGCAGGTGAAGAGGGGGCAGGCAGGCAGGCAGGCAGGTGAAGAGGGGGCATGCAGGCAGGCAGGCAGGTGAAGAGGGGGCATGCAGGCAGGCAGGCAGGTGAAGAGGGGGCAGGCAGGCAGGCAGGTGAAGAGGGGGCATGCAGGCAGGCAGGCAGGTGAAGAGGGGGCATGCAGGCAGGCAGGCAGGTGAAGAGGGGGCATGCAGGCAGGCAGGCAGGTGAAGAGGGGGCATGCAGGCAGGCAGGCAGGTGAAGAGGGGGCATGCAGGCAGGCAGGCAGGTGAAGAGGGGGCATGCAGGCAGGCAGGCAGGTGAAGAAGGGGCAGGCAGGCAGGCAGGTGAAGAGGGGGCAGGCAGGCAGGCAGGTGAAGAGGGGGCAGGCAGAAGTGCAGGTTTTGAAGGACCATCTCAACTCAGTCAGTTGGTCCACTTGAGCAGCAATGGACTTTTCTGCCCTGCTCAATCCCCGGCTTCTTCCTTCCTGCTCGCCATCCCCGCCACCCAACACACCCTCGCCCACGCTCTCCCTTCTCTGCCTTCCCACAGGCCCTTGCGACAACACTGGAGGAGAATGAGGTGCAGGCGTTGAGGGATCAGTTCAACGCGATGGACATTAACAAGGATGGTACCATCACGATTGATGAGATCAGACAGGTGAGGGGGGCGATGGGGAGAGGGAATGGAAGGTGGGAGGTTAAGGAGAGAGGGGAGAAACGGGGACCAGGGGGTCAGATGAAAGGAAGAAGCTGAGATGGCAGGCGCTGAGGCACCATTTCAATGCGATGGATATCAACAAGGATGGCACCATCACGATCGATGAGATCAGACAGGTGAGGGGGGGGAGGAGGGATGGAGGGAGATGAGGGATGGGAACGAGGGATGAGGAGAAGTGAGTGGAGAGTGGGTGGGTGGGTTTAGGGCTGGGGTGGGCTAAAAGGTGTGTTTTGAGGCGCCTCAAAACACACCTCAATGCACGCGGTTTAGGGCTGGGGTGGGCCAAGGGCTGGAGGTGCAGGCATTGAGAGACCAGTTCAATGCGATGGACATTAACAAGGATGGCACCATCACGGTCGATGAGATCAGACAGGTGAGGGGGTAGGGAGGAGGAAAATGGGGGAATCGTGAGAGGGGGGAAGACTAGCGAGATGGGAGTGATTTTTGAGAATTCTCAGGAATCGTGAGAGGGGGGAAGACCAGCGAGATTTAAATGCTATTCTGGTCTCTTCTCTTCCCTTCCTCTGTTTCCCTCGTTCCCCCCCCCCCCCCCCCCCCCTCTTTTCGTTGTCATACATTGAGTCACAGCCCCCACCATTTGAAGTGAAGGAGTCAACCTCCTGTATCTCTCCCCCCCCTCTCCTCTTCACAGATCCCAGCCCCTCCCCTTTCTCTCCCTACCCTCTTTTTCCCTCCCCCTTCTCTCCCTCCCCTCTCCCTCCCCTTCTCGCCGTCCCCACTTTCTTCCCCACCCCTTCTTTCCCTCCCCTCTTTCTCTCTCCCCTTTCTCTCCCTTCTCTTCCGTTCCCTCTTTCTATTTATCACCTTCATCAGGCACTGCGTGTAGTGAGTCGATTTTTGAGTCGACTCAAAATTCCCTCTTTCTATTTATCCCCTTCATCAGGCACTGAATCAGGCCCTTTGTCTTTTCCCCCCTTCCCTCCTCTCTTTCCTTCTCTCTTTTCTTGCCCCTCCCCATCTCAGGCACTAAGTCACGACCTGCCATTTGAAGTGAAGGAGTCGAGAGTGCTGCAGATCCTCCAAGCGGTGAGCACCCCTAATGTGATAGATGATAAAAGCCTAGCCTCTCAAAGCCAATGCGTTCCGTGGTTTGAGGCATGAGACACCTCAGAAGGAGTCTTCCGTGCTGCAAATTCTCCAAGCGAGGGCTTACTGCATTCCCTCAGACCCCGTTTGGAGAACACCCGGATTTGGGACTCCCTTTTTGAGACGCCTCAGTGCCTCTGTCGTTTGCGTGGCCTTGCGAATCCTCCAACCATCCCTGCCCCCCGTTTCCCCCCTCAGATGGACACCAACTGCGATGGGATTATTGATTTCGACGAGTTCGTGGCAGCAACGCTGCACGTGCACAGCAGCTAGAGGAGGCCGAATCCACCAAGTGGCAGGAGCATCCCATAAGCCTCATTTCTTCCCCCTCTCCATCCACCCTGCCCCCAGATGGACACCAACTGTGACGGGATTATTGACTTTGATGAATTTGTGGCAGCAACGCTGCACGTGCAGCAGCTGGAGGAGGCCGACTCCACCAAGTGGCAGGAGCGCTCGCGAGCCGCATTCGCCCAGTTTGACCGCGACAACGACGGGTACATCGATGCGGAGGAGCTGAGGATGGTAAGTAAGGGGTTGTGTGCGGTACAGGTAGGTTCCATCTTATCTCAGGAGGCCGACTCCACCAAGTGGCAGGAGCGCTCGCGAGCGGCTTTTGCCAAGTTTGACCGCGAGAACGATGGTTACATCGACGCTGAGGAGCTTCGCATGGTGAGGATGTGTTGAGTGCGGTACAGTTAGGTCTCATCCTGGTTGTCAGCAGCCTTTCAGTTTGACCGCGCAACGACGGGTACATCGACGCTGAGGAGCTGCGCATGGTGAGAGACTGCCGACTTGTTAACGGGTATTCAAGTCCAACGGCAACGGCTCAACGGCTGACATTTTAGTGCTGACCCCGACAACGGCAGGTACACGATGCAGAGGAGCTGCGAGTGATAAGTGGCTTACAAGTAACTGTAATAGGTCTCAGTGCTTCACACATTCTTTCCCCCCCGGCCTGCTCCTGCCTCTCCATAGCACTGGTAGGGGCTAAGCTTTCCCCAGTTCATGTTAACAAATGCAAGCACATCTGTGTTTCTCCTTTCCCATATTTTACCACCTTGTCAATACACCAGGCTGCCCAAGTTAATTTTCCGTTGGATAACCTGATAGCAGAAGCCGACACGGACGGGGATGGCAGAATCAGCCTGCCCGAGTTCCAGAAGCTTCTAAGATGTGCAAGCATCAATTCCCGCACCAACACATCTCGCTCCCGGGGTCGATCATGGCTTGGCCAAACCATTGACGAGTGATAAGCTGTTGGGCAAGGAACTTCACATCAGATATGGATTGCTGTGAGGGCAGGATGTGTTGCCGACGCATGAACTAATCTTGCTACAGGTCCATATACCTAGAAGACTAACACTTATGGTTTGTGTTAGGTCAGTAGAAGTTAATCTCTTTAGCTTATGACGGAATTACCTCGAGTAGCTGTTTCGGCATATGGGGCTTCTCTTGGGCCGACACTTTTCCTTACGGAGGTTGGGATTTTTCCCCCACTTGTCCAGAAGTCTGGGTCACGTTCGAGAAAGATTCGATTGGCTAGAAACTAGGCTAGTTCTGCTGATTGGCAGTTGGGATTCAAACGGAACTATTTTAGCTGACCGGGCATCTGATTGATGTTCCAGTTGCAGGCATGGGATTTACTCTACACAAAATGCACTCAGCGATTGAACTGGCACTTCAACCTTGTTACCATCAATCTTGTCGCGAAGGCTAATCCGCACTGGACGAAGCAAATTATTTCGCCAACTCTTTTCGTGAATGTACCTGATCACCAACACCTGCGCTTTTGTTTTGTACGTCCCGTACGATTCCTTTTTTCCCCCCTAAGGTTTTCTGGAGCTAAAATGTTTCCGCCATGGCTGCCGACCTATTAGGTTCTGCCACATCCCATCCACAAGTCTTTGTTTTGTGATTCCTGATGCCCTAGAAACCCGAATTTTGCGCTTCATCTGGCAGCCATGGCTGCCACGCGGCGCGTCGTGAACTCGACTTCGGAAATCCATGGACTCCAGTAATGTCGCATTAGCGCGATTCACTGGTTACACTACCATGCACGCCATTCGCGAGGACCGGGTACTGCGAATCACGTTTTCATCCGTTCCTGATGCACGAATAGTGCCGTGGATTCGTATGTCATCCCAGCTGCTACCAAGTTAGTATCAGGAGAACCATTCATGGCCGTCAAGTTCTGAGACGTCTGATCAGTCGGCACCATCCCCCTCCATTTCATTTTACTTAATTCCTCTCGTTCTCTCTCCTCGTTAGACAGGTAGCAGCGAAAGCGAGAGAGAGTCTCACAGGACCAGCAGCCGTTGCCATGGCTGCGTCAGTGTCTCGTTCCGCCAGCGCCGCGCCGTTGATTTGGTCAGCAGCGAGAATGTTCAAGCCTAAAGCACGGACACGATTCTCGCACACGTCGCACGCGTCGCACGCGTCGCACGCGTCGCACGCGTCGCACGCGCCCCTCGTGTGCTCTCGCAGCAGCAGCAGCAGCACCGTCGCGGCGTGTCGAATCAGCAAGTCGCATCGATTCGCGGTCCCCTCTCAAGCCTCTCACCAGCACCTCCGCTCCACGGGAATCAGACTTTTTTCCTCGCTGCCCGTTCGAACACCGGGCAGGCTCCGCGCGACTTTCTCCTACCCGTTTTCGAGAAATCATAAAAACACCTCCCTGCCAGCTCCAAGGTTGTTGGTTCCCCACCAAAAGCAGGAGCTCTCAGGGATTCGCAGCTGCACCGAAACGTCGGGCTTGCTTATAACGGGGACGCTTGTACCGGGCGCGAGGGCCGGCGCGCGCAGGCGTGCTAATATCCGATGTCACAGTAGCGCAGGCGCTGGTGGTGCAGATGGCGTTCGCGCTGGGGATTTGGTGACTAATGCGGGGGAGGGAGAGACGAAGGCGAGAGGGATTGGTCATGGGCATGAGGAGAGGCCGGATGATCATGGGCATGGGCACGGCCATGAAAATGGGCATGGGCATACGAGCCATGCACATGCTCAGAGTGCTGTTGCCATTGATACGCACAACCATGAGCATGAGGAGGATCGCCATGAGCATAAGCACCATCGTGAGCATCAGGATCAGCACACGGAGAATCATGATCATGATCATGAGCATCATGGCCATGCACATAGCCATGCCCACGACCGTAGCAACCATGCGCATCATGAGCATCATGAGCACACGCACTCACATGCCCCCGAAGCACATGCGTCCCATCATAAACACCATCATCAAGGCGAGCAGCAACCCCATGCCCATGACCATGACCATGACCATGACCATGCCCATGCCCATGCCCATGCCCATGCCGATAACAACCACAGCCATAACAACCATGCCCATGCCCACCATGCGCATGACCATGCCCACAGCCATAACGACACCCATGACCATGCCCACAACCACAGTCATGCCCATACCCACTCCCATGACCATGACCATGACCATGACCATGACCATGACCATGACCATGACCATGACCATGACCATGACCATGACCATGCACATGCGCATGACCACAGTCATGCCCATGCCCACTCCCACGACCATTCCCACAGCCACGGCCACCACCATCACCACCACCACTGCTGCCCATCGCCCACCACCCTCAACGCAGCCCAGCGCGCCCTCCTCTCGCTCTTCTCCTTCCTCCGCCTCGCCCCTCTGGCCGACCGCATGAGGGAGAGCGCGCCCCTCGCCTCTCTCTCCCTCGCGCTCTGCCTTGCTGCCTACGCTGTGCCGCTGCTTGTGCCGCTCGTTGTCCAGATGCAATCCCAGCCGTTGGTGGTGCAGATGCTGCAGACGGGGCTTGTTGCTGCAGCTTTCCCTCTCACTGCTGTAAGCTGCTCTCTGTACCTTTAATCTCCTCCCACAATTCTACAATTCTGCAATCACAATCTCACTCTCCTGGTAAATGGTTTTGCGCTCTCTCTCACTTCTGCAAGCGCACGTCTCTCTTATCTCCCAATGTCTCGTGTATGAAGATTTATTTTGAGACGTCTCAAAATAAGTCTTCTGCAAGCGCACGTGTCTCTTATCTCCCAATGTCTCTCTCTTGGTGAATGCACTGTGCAATGCACAGACCTTTCTCCCACCGTCCCACTACCTTTGTGAATTAACAACGTATTAACCGCATCTCACCCTTCTCCACCCACCTCAGATCCCAGCAACCATGGATGCATTACTGGACATAGCAGGCGGGTCGGTGAACATCCAGTGCTCAGGACTGTTGCAGCACTGGCGTCACGTGCTCTGCTGTTTCTGGTCTCAGCTGCTCTCTTTTTCCTCCCTTCGCTTTCCACCCTCCGTCCCAGATCCCAGCAACCATGGATGCATTGGTGGACATAGCAGGCGGGTCAGTGAACATCCATGTGCTCATGACCGTGGCAGCACTGTCGGCATGTGCGCTGCTTTTCCTGGTTTCAGCTGCTTCCCGTTTCCTCCCAATCCCCACGCGACCAGATCCCAGCAACCATGGATGCACTAGTGGACATAGCAGGCGGGGCAGTGAACATACATGTGCTCATGACCGTTCCCCACCCACAGCCACACTTTCTGCATGAATGAACACACTCTCTCTTCTCCCTCTCCACACTTTCCTTCCCTACCAGATCCCAGCAACCATGGATGCATTGGTGGATATAGCAGGCGGGGCAGTGAACATCCACGTGCTCATGACCGTCGCAGCATTGGCATCAGCGGCCATGGGGAATGCACTCGAGGGCACTCTGCTGCTCGCTATGTTCTCCATCTCCCATATAGGTGCGCTTCGATACCCCACATAGGTGTGCCTCGTTTACCCATATAGGTGTGCCGTACAGGTGCGCCTCCATTGCCCATACAGGGGGGCCGGGGTGAACAGCAGCGGAGCACCTATATGGGAGATGGAGACCATGGCGTCAGCGGTCACGGGGAATACACTCGAGGGTACTTTTGAGTCGACTCAAAAGTCAACTCATTGCCCATACAGGGGGTGCGGGGTGAACAGCAGCGCTGGCGTCAGTGGCCATGGGGAATGCACTCGAAGGCACTCTGCTGCTCGCCATGGTCTCCATCTCCCATATAGGTGCGCTGCCATCTCCCATCCCCCTTCCTCGTTCTGCTTCTAGAATTAGTGCAAAAACGTTACCACCTGATTTTGCCTCGACTCAAAACTTACCACCCTTACCACAAGCTCGTAACGATCCTCCACCACAGCAAAGATGTGAGGGTTGGGCAAGCCAGCACGTAACCACAAGCCCGCCCGCCCGTCCAACCCTCACATCTACTCACCCATCCACCAGCGGAGCATTATTTCACAGAGAAGGCTGTCTTCGACCTTCGCTCCCTGCAGGACAACAACCCCTCCCCTGCTCTCCTCATCCACCCCTCCCCCTTCCCTTCCGTTACCCCTCCCCCGCCCCCCCTTCGTCCCCACTTCTACCCATCCACCAGCGGAGCATTATTTCACGGAGAAGGCACTGGGCGACCTGCGCTCCCTGCAGGACAACAACCCTTCCACTGCTCTGCTCATCGATCCCTCGTGCCTCTTCCCTTACCATGACCAATCCTCTTTTCCACCCACCCACCAGCGGAGCATTATTTCACCGAAAAGGCTCTGGGCGACCTTCGCTCCCTGCAGGACAACAACCCTTCCACTGCTCTGCTCATCGATCCCTCGTGCCTCTCTTCTGTCGGTGCTTCTACTGCTGCTGCTGCTTCTGAAAACGGTGCCAGTGGCGGCAGCAACAGCAGCATCAGCAACGGCAGCAGCAACGGCAGCAGCAGCAGCAGCAGCAGCAGCAGCGGCGACGGTGGGAGCGAAAGGAGAGAAGGCGGGGTGGTGTTTCCGGGTCTGGCTGCCCTCTCCTGGTCCGAAGTGCCTGTAGCAGATGTGCCGGTGGGGGCTATGGTGCTGGTCAAAGCGGGCGAGGTGAGTGCTACGGGTGAAAGAGGTGAAAGGGAGACAGACTAGTGCATGTGTCTATGTGCCTCAGAACGATTTGACTGCTCTTTCATGGTCCAAAGTGCCGTTAGCAGATGTGCCTGTGGGAAATATGGTGCTGTTCAAAGCAGGAGAGGTGAGTGAGTGCTGCCCTACCGTCTAGAGGGACGACCTGGGGACTCCGTTCTAACCCAACAACAACCAACCCCTCCCCTCCTCCTCCTCCTCCTCCTGCTGCCCTAAGTTTCCCTTTATCTCCCCTCCCCCTCTCAGGTGGTCCCTCTAGACGGCACCGTTCGCTTCAGCCGCTCCCTCGTCACCGCCGAGCACCTCATGGGGTGATATGCACGAAGCACCCCACTAGAAGGCCATTGCTCCCCCTCTCCTCGTCTCTTCTCCCCCATCGCATTCCTCCACCCATCAGGTGGTCCCTCTAGACGGCACCGTTCGCTTCGGCCGCTCCCTCGTCACCGCAGAGCACCTCACAGGCACCTACCTTTCTCTTCCTTCCCTGCTGCTCTGCTCTTTCATATTTTCCCCCCCACCCTTCAGGTCGTCCCCCTAGATGGCACCGTCCGCTTCGGCCGTTCCCTAGTCACCACAGAGCGCCTCACCAGGTGATATGTAGTGGGTGTTATTTATTCACTTCCTTCCCCCTTTGCTGCTGCTGCTGCTCCTTCCCTTTTCATCAGGTGGTCCCTCTAGACCGGCACCGTTCGCTTCGGCCGCTCCCTCGTCACCGCAGAGCACCTCATGGGGTGATATGCACCAAGCACCCCACTAGAAGGCCATTGCTCCCCCTCTCCTCGTCTCTTCTCCCCCATCTCATTCCTCCACCCATCAGGTGGTCCCTCTAGACGGCACCGTCCGCTTCGGCCGCTCCCTCGTCACCACAGAGCACCTCACCGGCGAAGCCCACCCTGTCGAGAAGCTTCCCGGAAACACCCTCCCGGGCGGCTCGCACACCGTCGACGGCTTCCTCGTCGTGGAAACTTCCCGGAAATGGTCCGAGTCCACCGTGGCTCGCATAATGCAGCTCACAGAGCAAGCCAGGTCCCAAAAACCGCCTCTCCAACGCTGGCTGGATAAATTCTCCGAGAAATACAGTCAAGCCGTGGTGGGATTGTCGGTGGGAGTGGCTGTGCTAGGCCCTGTGTTGTTCGGATGGCCGTTGCTCAGCTCGCCAGGGGTGCGGGGGGTCACTGTATCGGGCACTGGCAGTGATGGTGGCGGCGTCGCCCTGTGCCCTCGCTGTTGCTCCGCTCGCCTACTTCTGTGCTCTCACTGCCTGTGCAGCCAAGGTGAGTTCCTAGAAACACTCCGGGGATTTTTTGAGAATTCTAAAAAATACCTTGTCGGTGGGACTGGCTGTGCTAGGCCCGGTGCTGTTCGGCTGGCCGTTTTTGAGCTCGCCAGGGGTGAGGGGGTCACTGTACCGGGCGTTAGCAGTGATGGTGGCGGCATCTCCCTGTGCTCTTGCTGTCGCTCCCCTCGCGTACTTCTGTGCTTTGACAGCATGCGTGGGCAAGGTGAGACTCTCTAGAAGTCCTAGCAGCTCTAGAAGTCGTGTTGAGCTCGCCAGGGGTGAGGGGGTCACTGTACCGGGCACTGGCAGACTGGCAGTGATGGTGGCGGCGTCCCCCTGTGCTCTAGCTGTTGCTCCCCTCGCCTACTTCTGTGCTTTGACGGCATGTGCGCGCAAGGTGAGACGACTCTAGAATCTCTGGAAGGGCGGGCGGCCATGCCTTGGACGCCACAGCATCAGCAATACGTTGGGATATGTTTCTAGTTAGCTCATACCGTCTTCCCTGCTCCCTCTCTACTTTACTCCCGTCTTCCCCCGCTCAGGGCATTCTACTGAAGGGCGGCCATGCCCTGGACGCCACAGCAGCGTGCGACACAGTGGCGTTTGACAAGACCGGCACGCTCACCACCGGCCAACTCGCCCTGCGCTTCATCCAACCTCTGCACTCCCACGCACCGCACACCACTCCCTCCCTCCTCACCCCCTCCTCCCCCGTCCCTCCCTCCGACTCCACACCTTCCTCTCCCTCCTCCTCCACCTCCTCTCCCTTCTCTTCCTCCTCCTCATCCGCCTCTTCCTCGTCCTCCTCTCCTAATTTCGTTGAAAGGCGAGAAATTCTGGGAAGACTGTGCAATGGAGGGGACAGGGGGAGTGCGCAGACACAGTCACGAGTGGGAGGAGACAGGAGTGGTGGTGGAGTGCAGCAGCTGCAAGCTGTGAGGGCAGAGGCGCTCGCAGTGGCTGCCTGCACTCGAGCAAGCAGCCACGCACCCCCATTGCCAGGTGCGTTCGGCTGGGCGTTGAATGGGTGAGTGTGGGAATGTTGAGTCGTGTCAAGGCTCGACAGGCGTGGTGGTGGAGTGCAGCAGTGCGAGCTGTGAGGCTGAGGCGCTGGCAGTGGCTGCTGCTCTCGAGTAAGCCGCCACGCACCCAATTGCCAGGTGCGTTGGGTGTGGGTGTAGGGGTTTTCAGTCGTGTTCAAAACTCGACAGGCCGTGGTGGTAAGAAAGTTGATTTTTGAGACGTCTCAAAAATCAACTTTCTACACTAGGGGTTTTGAGTCGTGTCAAAACTCGACAGGCGTGGTGGTGGAGTGCCGCAGTGCGAGCAAGCCGTGTCAAGACTGGACAGGCACTGAGTTTGAGACGTCTCAAAACGCAAGACTGGACAGGCACTGAGTTTGAGACGTCTCAAAACGCAAGACTGGACAGGCACTGAGTTTTGAGACGTCTCAAAACGCAAGACTGGACAGGCACTGAGTTTGAGACGTCTCAAACGCAAGACTGGACAGGCACTGAGTTTGAGACGTCTCAAAACGCAAGACTGGACAGACAGGCAACTGGGAGGGAGTCCGCTGCTAGCTCTCAAGCAAACAGCTATGCACCCCATAATGATATAAGGTGCATCAGCTGGTGCTGGGGCGAGGGCTTACCCCGCTCCCAGTATGAAGAAGTGTTTTGAGACGTCGCAACACACTTCTTCATACATATCTGCTGCTCTCGAGCAAGCAGCTATGCACCCCATAATGATATAAGGTGCATCAAAAGGTGCATCAGCTGGTGCCGGGGCGAGGGCTTACCCCGCTCCCCTTTCGGACTCCCTGCTCTTTTTTCCCCACTCTTCCCCCCCA